ATATATAAAACCACTTCAAAACCTTTTAAAGATTCTGCTGAATATAACAACACCCTTAGTTGTATCTATCCTGATGGTTTTAATATTGGGCTTCCAGCACCAATGGACTACAGGCTTCAAAAGAAAAACATTACTACAGCCTCCATTTCTGTGATTCAGTCTCCAACAACAACCTGTCCCACAGAGATTATTATTATCAAATTTATTTTGATAAAGAGAAATATATAAAGATAGAAAACTATGGCAAGTAATTTTAAAGCCAGAGCACAGAGCACTCTAGGCACCTGAGATTTAGCTATTGTGCAAGCAGTGAAACTTCAGAATTCCTGTCCTGCATTGCATACACACCAATAAAACCCAGAAAACAAGTAAGCAATAAAACAGAGCTTTCAGTTCGGTAGATTTTGGGAAATCACTCCAACCTTACCTCCCCATCTTGTGATCCTTGGCTTATTTTGAAACTTCAAAAAAAAAGTGGAAAGAGATTTATTCCACTTGCTTAATCCAACTGAGTACCAGTAGTTTACACCTGATTAATTTGCTCATCTAGAATCAAGTCTTGGATATTATCTTATTATTCATCTTTCAGATATTAGCAAGCAAAGCCTTCATGCTCAAGGAGTAGTTAACTAAGTGGTCAATTAATAACAATAACAATAGTAAATTACTGACTTTTACTATTACTAATAGACGTCTGTCACTTACTAATTAACTACTAAGCTTGCCAACACGGATAACTAGTATCTGGTACACTGTTGACATAGCGAACAGGAGAGCTAATTGCAGGTGGAATCAGTGGATCCAATAAATGAAGACAATCAAAGTGAAGCCAAGAGTCATAAGAGGGCAAAGCTAAGGTGTGTGATCTCTAATTGATACAGAAAAACAAAGCACCCTTACAACCTGCATTTCTGTGATTAGGTCTCCTGCAACAACCTGTCCCACAGGGATGGTGAACCAAGGCAAGTACTAGTCCCCTACTTACAACAGTTCATTTAGTGACTGTTCAAAGTTACAACAGCACTGAAAAAGTGATTTATGACTATTTTTCACACTTATTTCTCACAACCATTGCAGCATTCCCATGGTCACAGTGACCAAAATTCATATGCTTGGCAAATTACTCAGATTTAGGACCGTTGAAATGTCCCCGGGTCATGTGATCCCCTTTTGCGACCCTCTGACAAGTAAAGTCAATGGGGAAGCCAGGTTAACTTAACAACTGTGTCACTAACTTGACAACGGCTATGATTCACTTAGCGATTGTAGCAAGAAAGGTCATAAAATGGGGCAATATTCACTTAACAATCACCTCACTTAGCAACAGAAATGTTGGGCTCAATTGCGGTTCTAAGTCAAAGACTACCCATAACTGTCAAAAGTGCTGATCTTCCCCCAAAGATTGATATTTATAGTTATATCCTTTTTGGACTTAGTTTACAGAACAATGAAAGAACATCTTAAATCAGAGGTCTCCAAACTTGGCAACTTTAAGACTTCTGGACTTCAACTCCCAAAATTCTACAGCCAGAATAGCCAGCTGGAGAATTCTGGGAGTTGAAGTCCACAAGTCTTAAAGTTGCCAAGTTTGGGGACCCCGTCTTAAATCTTTACCTATGTTGAGTTCGCTATCATCAGAAATTGGGTGCAGAGCAGCACTTTAAAAAAAAAAGCATGCTTAAATATAACCATAAAGGGTTAAAAAAAAGCAGTTGTGTTGAAAAGAAGTCAAAATCCACAGTGAAAGGAGTCAACTATCCATATAAATCAACTGAAATTTAAAAAATCTAATTTCCAAGCGTCCATTTTTTAGTCAGGTAGTCTCTCAGTTCACATTGCCACAACCAGCCAGTCCACATGGGTGAAACCGGGGTTTTTGACATATAAGCATAGAGACGTCCCCCTTCACTCTCTCCCCCCCCCCCCCCCTCTTGAAAGGAAAAAGGCTGCTTTCTTTAAGCTAGAGAAAGAAGTTGCTGGATTGAGGCAGGAAAGGAGTGCCGCTGCCTCAGCATTAACTGATTGGAATTTCTAGGGAAAAAAGGAAATCTAGACAAAAATATCTTTCCAAAAGCCTTGTTTATTTCTGTAGAAATAGGCAAATGTTTTTGCTCAGGAATCTGTGTTAGACTTTTGATTTATTTTGCTGTGCACATGTTAGAAGCCGACTATGCCTTTGAATACTTAAGCTTTGGGTAAGGAGGTTCCACTGAGTTCAAGTTTTACTTTGTCTCTATGAAGTTCTCGACAGCTGTTATATTTTGAAAGCGTGTATTTAATTGTACAATGCAATTGAGGGTTTTTAATGGTAAAATGTTTCTTAATTTTTAGGCTTTTATGATGTGTTTTTCATTGTATGCCACCCACAATCATATTTTGCGAGATGGGCAATTATATGATAAATAAATAAAACCAGATCCTGAATGAGGTTTTTAATTAAAATGATCAGTCAGGAGGTATTTTTAAATCATTTTTAAAAAATAAAATAAAATTTGATTTTATTCATTCTTGCAAGATTGATTTATTTCCCAATGGGGAAAGGAAAGGTTAAAACTACTTCTTTTATGTTATGCCAGATGGTTTCATTACGGAACTTGAAATGTTATTTTCCTTTTTTTATTAGCCATAAGGGGAGTACAGATTATGGTAGTCCTCTCTCTCTCTACATCAAAGTGAAGAGGAACCTCCAGGAACATTATGTTGTGGTTAGCCGGCAGCAGGTGCAGACGGCTGACGAGAGTGAGGACTCAGATGAGGGGCCAGGACCATTAGGGAGTGGATTGCTGCCTTCAGAGATTGTGGGGGCTGGCAGCAGTGATGAGGAGGTTCTTGAGGAGCCTGTGCCAAGTGCACGTGCACGAACGATTGCTCGGAGGAAAGAACAGTTACAATAGCACGGGCAACTCGGGAGTAAGGCTGCAAGGTAATGGCCCCTCCTTCAAGACGATAAAAGCCAGCTGTGAAACTAACTTTCTTTGCAGAAGGCAAAGAATTTTTGAACTCAGCCTCGTGGACATTACAGTTGGTATTTGAAGACTCTTGTAAACTATTTCTTATCTGTTGTTTTTTGTCAGACTTGGAAAAACTTGGCAAGGCTCTTTCTTGTCGGAGCTAATTAGTTGGAAGCAGCCTTTTATCTGTGAAGAAACAGGATTTTTAGCTTAAACATAAAAAGATTATACTGCTGCCTTTCTCTTGTGTTTGCTCTCTTGGAATCAGGTTTGGGTCAGAACATATTACTGATAGGAATAATTAGGAAGCAGCTGAAGCCAGGCAGCAAGTTAGGGCAGGGAAAAGTCTTCCAGGAGAGCTTCAGGGAGATATGATTTCAGACTTTTAGAAGCCCTGTTCTTCGATTAACATAAAAAGAGTTCGTATATATTTCTTGTTTTGTTTTGTTTTCTTTTATTTTGCATATATGAATGATATTTCTAATTTGATTGAGATTGAGATTGATCAATATTGATATTGCAGTACTAGGAATAGCTAAGATACCACCCTGAACCTTCAAAACTCCAAGGCCTCTGGTAAAGAATCCAAGACTGAAGAAGATATATATCCCTGACAGAGATGAGAAGGGATTTTACTAAGGTTTCAGTTTGAAAAAATTGCACTAAAAACAGACTATTTCACAGCTCAAAATTATGAATTCAAATTCAGATAATTTTGAAGTCGTAGTTTTGAGCTGTGAAATAATCTTAGCTATTCCTAGTACTGCACTTTTATGAACAAGAGCTTTGATGTTGTTCCTGGGATCTTTTGGGGCCACTTTCTCAGTTTATGAGTCACAGCCCCAAGTGCTCCTATCACTACCATTAATTCTTTGACCTTTACTTTCTGCATCTCTTCTGCCCAGGAGCTTCTCCAGCTTCTCATATTCTTTCCATATATGTTATGAGAAGCTACATGTGTGTTTGTATGTTTTAAATGTTCAGTTGATAGAGTTTCATGTTTAATGAATAAAAGAGACAACAACAATAATAATGATAATTTAGAGGAAAAGTGACGAATCATTACAAAAACTAGTACCCCCTGGGGGAGTGGCTTCCAAACTTAACTTGAAATTGCAATCAAAATTCCCAGAAGAATGAACCAATGAGCTCAGTGAGCATTCTCATATTTCCATTAGGGCGGTAGGAAGTTAGCATCTACCCCTCTCCTAGAAAAATGAAGTATCTTAGGAAATATTAAAAAGGCAGAATATTTCCCCTAAAAAGTGTAGAAACTCAGAAGCAGAAACTCACCTCAGAGCAGAAGCTCACCCCCACTTTGTTAATGGATGGGTTTTTAAGGCCTAGGCTAGAGTATTCTACATAATAAAGGCCTCTGCCCATCTCACCACCTGGTCTGGGAAGATTGCACCAGCCAGCACTCAGCCATGTGGTCCAGACAAAGCCTACACAGTTAGCTAAGAACCCCCGCCCCTGGGAGTCTGACAGCCAATGGGATACATTTCTTGCACAGGAAAGAAAACACTAAGGTGGGGCCCAACAGAAAGTATATAACTAAGGGACTCTCAGCATCTCAGCCCTTTTCCCTTTCCTCCTTTTCCTTCACCCAACATCTTGAAGCATGTGATCGTCTTTGGAGCTCCAAGCCATGCGGTCCATTAAACCATCTTTCCAGATAGCCTCCATGTTTCCAGTGTCTTTTCCCCCACTTGGAACTGAACCCAGAAGGATAATTCTTCCAACAGGACTAAGAGCTTAGATTCTCTTGCAAAATATGGAACATTGTCTGTAATTCAAGAAAGCAGCTGCATTTATGGAGGTGCATTCAAGTGCTAAGTTCTTATTCCCATGTTTCACTGGAACACTAACATAACTGCTAGTAGACAAAAAGCATGACCAGTTACATGCAACTGATTACAAATATGCTAAAATTCATAGTTACCTTAACTCAAAGCCGCAGCAGCCTTAAAATACGGGTTAACAAACCTCATTTAATACAGCCCGTAGGCTGGATTCATAGTATGCTGAGTATTGTATTCATGTACTCACAATGTCTGTGTGCTCTGTGGGAGTGTAGGGATGAAACTGACCTCCATACAAGTTATTTTATAGAGTCCCCAATCAGAACAATCACACAAGGATGAAGGGCACACTTCAGTGCCTCGACTTCTCTGACCCATTTCTAGCAGAAGCAGCAGGTGAAGGAACTTGGGCAGCCACAGCATCTTGTTGCTACTGCAGCAGCAGCTTCATTATATTGTGTAATCTTTTGCACCAGAAAGAAGAGAGCAGCTAATTAAGGTCCTTTTCCTGAGAACAGAAGAAAGCTGGAATCACCAAAGAAATGTCCCATCCACCTAGTTATTTCTCGCTTTCCCTAAAAGCAAAAATAGAAAAAGAAAGAAAGAAAATAAAATAAGCTATGTACAAAAATACAGTATGTTATACAATTAGCCGACAAGGCCATGCTGTTGTTTATTAATTTCAATATGTCTGCATAACAATTGGACATTAAAATAGGATGAAAATAATAATAAATATGCCCAAACATTTCAGAGTAAGATCTGGGCTACCCAAAATACTACAGTAAGTTTCTACTACACTGGTTTCTGGGAAGCATATTCCTTTAATCAACTAAAGGCCTTCTAGAATGCTGAACAAGGCTTCTGTATGTTGTATTAAAAAACACTCATACTGCCTAACTATGACTTGAACTTTTTCTTTTTTTAAGCAGTGCGTCTCTTTTGGCACATCTCCCACAAATCTGATCCGAAAGACTTGTTTTTTCAAGAATAAAAAGGAGACGTCAGAATTACATTGTTACATTGTCCATAGCTGTATTGATTTGAGATTATATTATGACACCAGCCATGGAAAACTTGCCATATCAAACAGCTAGAAACTACATAAAGAATACTTGGGATTGTGGATTAAATTATTTGCTTTGGAGGAAGAAAGCTAATTGATAAATTATTTGCAATACAAAAATTTGTTTTCAAATGTTGTTCAAAACTGAAGCAAACATTGTTTATTTTCAAATTCAAGGCTCTCAGTATTTGATAATCTGAGAAATTTTGAACACTTGAAAATCGCATGAATTCTACCATTTTGAGGAAACATGATATGATATATGGATGAATAGTTGGTGAAAGGTAAAACAGGGATTTAAATTGGTTTGAATATATGCAGATAAAACCTTTAACAATATTGTTAGCAACATTAGAATATAACAAAAATCTATATTCAAAGATGTACTTGTTTAAAATAAAGCATAAATTTCCAAAATATATAAATAATTATAAACAATTTAAAATTTGATTTCCAAGTCAAATAAATAAATTATTGAGTGACCTTAACAGTAGCCTAAGTACTTCTGAAAATCAGAAATATTTCTGGAAAGAAAGTCAGTGATCAATTTTCTATATGAAAATTTCTATATAGAAACTGAATAATGAATAACAATAAATATAGGAATGAATAGTAAGAGAGGAGAGATGTGGGATTTCCAATGAAATAAAAATAATGAACATGAATTATAGCTCATTCTACTGAAGATATAAATCTCAAGTAGACTTTCCAATTCACTTACAGTGGACATTTTCAAAAATAAAGAATACACTTTGTGATAAATAGAATATTGGCTTTTATCATTTTTGAACTAATACTAGATTATGAAACTTCAACATATGGAAACAATTTTTATATGCCTTTTGTATCTAGAACAATCTAAAAAAAGGGAGGAGAAAACAGTTTTTAAAAATTGCCCATTGTTTTTAATTTATTCATTACTTGTAAGGACAACCATATTTGTCATCAGTAAAAAGAGATAAAAGGTGAACATTTTAAATTAGAAACACTATCTTAAATTTAAAACAAAATAAGGATAAATAAGGATATGATATGAAGCAATTTCTTTTAAATCAAATTATATTGAACAATAAGATTTAAACATAGGCTTGCCGCCAAAAATGAGTAATGCATATATAATGTTAGCAATAATCAGGGGTAAAAACTCTTTTTTCCTAACACAATTGAGAATCTCAACATTCCTCCCCAATGTATCATGCTATCTGTCCTATTTTGGCTAGAAATTCTGAAATTTCTATTTCTATATAAGAAAGTATTTTCTTATATGTTCAGCTGGATACATCACAGCAAGGAATATGCTTTTTTTCTTTCTCTTTCTTAAGACTTGCAAGCAGCATTCGTGCTTGCCTAATGGTTGGATGGTTATCTGGTGAAACTTCCCGACCACGGGGAGATGAAGTTGTGAAGACATTTGCCTGGCTGAATTTCCACCTGCTGCTTTTTGGGTCCTCTGGGCTCCAACTATACCAGGATCTCTTAGGGTTCCTGCAACTCTTCATATGGAAAGTCTCCCTTGCCAGTAGTCTTCAGGAACTCTACTTTAAGGGGCAGGAGCTTCTCCATCCCTTTAGGTCAGTGAACATTTGATATATGTGGACTTCAACTCCCAGAAAGTACAGTGGCTCCACACAATTTAAAGTTGTCAAAGCTGAGAAACACCACCCTGAACAGAGCAGTACAGATACCCACTGCAACTGTTTATTGATCCTCACCGTAACTCGCAGCTCAGTGAAGTTGGTAGCTGTTAGGGGGGATGAAGTCCTTTCTCGTCCTCTTCTCCCGTCCAGCGCCTTCTGAAACACCTGGCCAGCAAGTGAGGAGAACCCTCCGAAGTCCCATCGGGGATGGACAGCAAGGGGTCGCAACTTGCCTGAGCGGCAGGTAGAAAAAGCAACTCCGCTCGGCATTCCGTAGCAACATCAGTGTCAGCAGCCCTTTCAAGGCTGGCGGTCGGTCGCCATCTAGTGGCGACAGGCCAGATAAGCATCGAGTCAGAGGCTTTCCGCCAAGAAATACGTGAAGTCGCGTGTTTAATAGATCTACTTATCGTTTCGCTTTAGCTCAAAATTAATTGTTGCCCAAACCACCTATTTATATTCCTTTTAAAAAAATATTCTTAGTGCTGAAGGCGGCTAATAACATTAGAAAAAAAGATAAGCCTGCGTTCACCCAAGACCTCCACTAAATTTAGTTAGTGATTTCACTGGAAGTATTTGCATGACATGTTTACAGTGATTTATCCAACTGGTCCAGTTTTTGGGCTCTCCCAACCCATTAACTGTAATCTAACTACATAGGCTGAATCTGCATGATTAGTTAGCTTAAGATGAAGTCTAGTTCAATCTCCAGAGCCATAAACAAGCCAACCATATGAACTTGTGCAGACCCAGTCCAGGTTGTCAGTCTGTTTCTCAGAAGCCCAAAAATTGTATGCAGTTCAATTAGTTAATGTAGTGAGTCCAAATAGTAGGGCACACACTGCCATTGCCATGTTCTCTGAATCGTATGTGGCTGTGATCCTTGTAAGCTACCCAGTACCAACCTCCCATAAATAGCAGAGATGTTTTACCTATGCTCTCACAGTACTCTCCCCATCCATCTAAATTACAATTTAACTTACAGCAATGATGCCTGGATATGTTTCTTTACAAGTAGCATGCAGTAATCCACAAAAGTTTTAGACAAAACTCTGTGGCTGTAATGTGGTTAAGGCCCTGGAGTAAGGACCAGGGGAGAGGTCCTTCAACTGCCATGAATGCTCATTGGAGATTTAGGTAGTTGTTGTTTTTTAAATTGAAGTACTGAATGCCAATGGATTTAAATTTTTTTAAATTTACACTATGTAAGAATACAGTAGGCTATTGGAAAAAAATCATTAGCTGTTACTTGGGAGAAAATGTTTAATTGTAACTTTTTTTCAAATTGTGGGAAATAACTGTTTTCCTTTATTTTGCATTGGTCACAGCCCATTGGCAATACCGGGCTCTAGTCTGGGTTAGTCTAATCTAATTAGAAGAATTTAGAGAAGTTAAATGGGTTCAGAGAAATCAACAGAGAATTGGGGGGAAAACAACAACAATGGAAAGAGATTGAAGCAGTTGGGCAGGCCAGGACCTAATGGATTCTACTTACAGGATGGCACATTTCCTCTGAATGTTAGGTGAAGAAAGGGGGGCTTTTGTTCCTTTTTTGCTCTGATGAGTTTCACACACCATTCGGTTATGGCCATTTATTTCATCTGTCCTGGTCTCACAGCCATATAGGGTTAGGGTTAGTGGTTTGATAAATAGAAGTTTATGTACCTGTGTTATAGTTACAACATCCTTCCAATTATGTCCACTTCAACAATTATATAAGACATGGTGTTCTGCTTTTCACTGGGTGTATTTAAGCAAAAGGCTGGTGGGCCAATTGTTTGGGATGTTTTAGGAATTTGGATTCCCAAATTTCCAGACTAGTTGACTTCATTTCTTAAACTGTCTGCTTGTAAGATTCTAAGTTTCCTTCGTTTTCTTACTGAAAAGCCAGCAATTGTTGGAAAAGTATAAGAGTAACTGACATTGTCCATCACCCATCCCACCCATTTCCCAGATAAAGTTTTAAAGCAAAAACAGCATCTCTCTTTATTTTATTTATTTGTTTGTCAAACATGTGCAAGATAACAAGTATATGTATGAACATAAACAAGAACAAGGGAGTAAATACAGATAAACACAGTACGACGTTAGTGCGCTTATGCACGCCCCCTTTACGGACCTCTTAGGAATGGGGTGAGGTCCACGGTAGATTTATTTGTCTTTCGGCCCTATTTATGACGTCGTTGTGTACTGCAGTCTTCTCCTACCCAATGCGTTACAAACAGGCTGAGATAAAACCCCGGTCTCCCCTTTTCAGCTTTTGGGACAGCTCGTTGTAATCCAACTAATTGTAAGGAATGTTGACTGACCAAAACCGCGCAGAGCTAAAATGAAGCCCTACGCCTTTAAGAAACAGGCGCAGCCTGTTCTATTACTGCTTGCTGTACTGGTTCTTCGGCAGCGAGGAACGGCGCTTCTGACTGTTCCTTAGACGGCTCGTCGCGGAGCATTCTGGTAGCTGTAGTTTCCTGCCGACTCGAAACAATCGGTGCCTCGGGACATTCGAACTACGATTCCTAGGATGCTAGGCGCCCGAGGGGCACTGGCGCCTTGCGAGGCCGCTCTCTCTCGGTGGCAGGGCGGCTAGTTCAAGTTGCCATAGCGGCAGCGGGGCGGGTGTTGGACAGTTGGAGCCGGAGGCGTCCGGGAGTCATGCTTCTTTCCTGACAACTATCCTCATGTGAGAAGGCGCGGGTTAGTCCCGGGATCAGAGAAGTGTCCGGGGCCCAGTGTGGAAATAAGCGTGTGGATGTGATGACAGCGAGTGTTGAATGAGAGAATCGGAAGTGGGTGCATCCGCGCGTGGGGTGGAGAGAGCCATTGCCTTTGATCGTGCGATCTCGATCGATCGTGGTCTTATAGTGGCGGAACCCGAGTTTCGGGTGACTGAAATTCGGCCAGGAAAGCGTCATTATAGTATCCGGACAAAAGAAACTTTGCAACGCTTTAAACGGATAACAGTCATGCAGCCCGACTATGTGCATCAAAAGTAAAGGTGATTCGTGTTTTACCCAGCCTCTTCTTTCTTATCATTCTTATCTGGAATAGCTCAAGAGGTGGGTTGGACTAGATGACCTCCAAGGTCCCTTCCAACTCTGTTATTCTATGAGGTCTATGACCAGGAGGACTCGTAATAAACTCTGTTGATTTCAGCAACCTTAACACTGGGGAAGGCGGCAATTCTGTACAGTATATCTGCTGGATTAGGAGGAAGAGCCATTGAGTAAAATGGAGTGTGCAGATTGAGGGGCATTTAGAGTAAACACATTTAGTGTACCTGTGATTAAGGCAACAAAACATAGGAAGGATTTCAAGTGAAATGAAAAGTGTCTTCAGTTTATGTTTGTGCATATGAACTTCATGCAGTATGTATTTTTGGAATAACTATGGCTTATAAACTAAAACTTTTTTTAAAAAACTGCCTGATTTGGAAGAGCTTGCTCTCATTCATTTTATTTTATGATGTGATTATGTGTTAGCTATTTGTGACAGTTCTTAAATGTGTCTGCTTTCAGTTGTATATTCCATCCATGTGGTTATGTGAGGCTGCAAACGGATATATGTTAAAGTGGTGATATTGTTGAGACCTATGAGTCATACTAAATTTTGAAAGAGGCAAAATTTTGCATTTTTAACAGTATGCTGGATGAAGGGGTTAATCCTGCTTCCTGGGAAAATTGTACTCTAGCAGTGCCTTATAGTATACATTCATGTTTGTCTTAAGGCAAATCACGACTGAATTAAATCAATTTTAAACTTCCTTCCTTCCTCCCTTCCTCCCTCCCTCAGCAGATGAGATAGCTTGATAACCTTTACAGTATTTTGTGCTGTACTGAGATGGAAATGGGAACTATGCCTAAAGGCTGAAGATATTCTACATTTGATAGGTAAAAATAGGTGTGATGGTTGCTCCTGAATCACAGTATAGGGTGCTCCTGATTACTATAACAAAGCTTTCCCTTGCTCCCTTTCAACCTACTTTTTCAATGGTTGTATTCTGTTTAATTATATGTGCTCAGCACATATAAATGTTCCCCTAAGTTCTTAGCTTGACTCAACTTCCCTTTTCCTGTTATATGAAGTTTGGAGAAGTTGTACTTAAAGTTTCCTAAGTGTCTTTTTGCTGATAGTCTGCTAGGGTGTGGCTTTCCCCCCTACTATCCTGTCTATATTTTATTTCCAATTGTGACATTATGTGCTTTGGGGAGTAAGTTGTGTTCTGGAGGATTGTTAAGTTCATTGATAGCTTACTTGAGCTTCTTCACCTTGAAGATTTGCAATGGTTTTTTTAAACTAGCCTTTTCATTAATTTGTTTTACTACTTTATCAAAGGTAGAGATTACTGTTCTCAATTCAAATGAATCAATTTTGAGGATGTCCCTGTTTCAAGTGAGTAGTCGTGTATGAACTAGGTGCATGCCCTAGAATTTTGGCCTTTTTTGGGATCCCCCGTCTAGGTCTGCTCTAAGGTAGATCATAATTGAATTGCTACAATATTATGGTAGAAATACATGATAACAAACGTCACTGGTTACATTATTAAAGCTTGACTTACAGATCAATTTTGTCTGAACAGGTTAAAGGTTTCTACTTAGTTTAGTACAATCTGCAAAGTAGAGGTACCATAATACACACAACACACACACACAATTTTTACTAGAAACTAGAATAGGAAGAAAACTTTTGTCAATGTTCCTATTATTCTTTCGCTATACGGATAAGTGAAATCTGCATTTTTAAGGAATACTGTAAATGTTTTAAAAATTGATGTTTTACATACAGTACAACGGTGCATTTTAAAAATAATTGCTATTGTAGACTTGATTTTATATGCAACTTCTATTATTATATTTCAGTTTTTGCAGTTCATGGCATATGTGGAAAAGATAATGTGTTTCAAAAACTATATCAGTGAGCTGAGAACTGAGTGGGTATAAGAACAGTTTTTAAGCAGTATTGGAAAGGCTGTCACACAAAAGAAAGCTAAAAATTGTTCTCTGTCATCTCAGAAATAGGACGATGGATAATAGATTTAAGAAAGAGGAAGGCAAATTTCTGATTGCAACATTTTATTAACAGAAAAACCATTCTGGCTTTCAATTGATTGGTGAGAGAGTTGCTAAACTATCCTTTACTGGATATTCAAGTAGAAAGACGGCAACCATTTTTCAGAGATGCTTTAATTTGGATTTCTATATGGAGAAGTAGTTGAGTTGAGTGGCCAGAATGATCTCTTCAGTCTCTGTGAATCTATAAACTAATGTAAACTGTAGAATAATGTGGCAGATAGCAGAATCAGTCCAATTCTGTTTCAGAAAAAAAGATACTGTAAACACTCTTAACTGGGTTGCCTTATTTCTGGATGAATGGGATCAATTCAGCCAACTTTTCTTTTTCTTTTAATACTGATCCTGGCAGTGAAGTAATGAGACTTTCTTTTGCTGTTTAGTAATGTGGGTTCTGAATGAAGGTTTTGTTTTTGGAGTTGTACTAAAAATAGTAGCTTTTAGAAATCTCCTTTCATGGCTAGGGTTTGCTATAGTGATTATCAGGTACTTAGAACAAATTGCTATTTGCTATACCATAATAATATTAATATAAACTTTTAATGTATGTGCATAATTATATTACATGTCTGGATAATCACGCACAGTTTACATATGTTAGATTCTTTAAAACTGCTATAAAAGGAAGTATAGTGATATCTTTGAAAACTTGAGAGTCATAACGATAACAATCTGGAAACGATTGGTTACTATGATATTTCTTTCAAACATTCCCACCCCAAACACACAAGAGCAGGCAACAAGAATATAGGTAGTTCTCAACTTAACAATCATGATTGAACCCAAAATTTATGTTCCTAATTGAGACAGTTAAGTGAATTTTACCTCATTTTACAACATTTCTTGTCACACTTGTCAAGTGAATCATTGTAGTTCTTAAGTTAGTAACACATTACTAACTGTTACCTTCTGGCAGAAGATACAGAACAATAAAAACTCAGACCATACGTTTTGTGAACAGTTTTTAATCCCAGAGCTATGATTGCACTTAACAATGAACTTAAGGACCACCATCAGTGAGCTGTTGGACAGTATTACTTGCGTGTTCAGGTCTTTTCCCAAGGAAGATGGAGAGTATCTTGGCAACGTTCAGATGAGGTCTCACTCACCATCTTCAGGCTGGTGCTTTCGGCTTCGTGCTTGTGCAAGCAAAGCGTGATCGGAGCTGCCGTCTCCCTATATATACTGGTGGGGAGGTTGGCTGTGTTGTCATTTCTTGATTGGTTGATGGAGTTGAGGATTGCAGGGCTGTGCAAGTGACTGCTGTGGCTGCAAAGGAGTTGGGAGAGGGTATACATGTGCGGGAGAATTACCTCAGCAACTTGTGATGTTCCCTGCTAGCTTCTTCTTTGCATATTGGAGAAGTGACATGGAAGTTGCAAATGGTGATCATGTGACCTCAAGAAGCTTGGCAATCTATAGTATAGGTTTTCCTATAGTATATTCTATAATCTTGCTACAGTATAGAGCTTTGAAGATGATTGTTCTACAATCCTGTGAACACCATGAAGAACAGTGGTCAAAATTCAGATATTTCAGTGTAAATACTCATTTAAGCTTGTTGAGCGGCATGGTGGTCTAGTAGTGAAGACACTTGCCTCCCACTTGAAAGGTTGATAGTTCAATCCTAGGTACTGTAGCAACAGATGTTTCTTTCTTAGGTCACAAAGAAAAAAAAAATCTGCTGTGAACTCAATAGTAATGTCAGGAAGGGCTTCCGGTCAGTAAATGCTCAGCTCCCTCCAGTCTCCCTGACTTTATTTTGAATTAAGGGCCTATAGCAGTGTTGGCGAACCTTTTCGGCACTGAGTGCCGAAACAGAAGCATGTGTGTACGCGCATGCGGGGGACCACCGGAAACCGGAAGAGCAGCTCCCTGGTGTGCATGTGTATGTTGGGAAGCTGAGCTTTCAATTTCTGGCATGCATGCGCGCGCGAAGATCAGCTGGCTGGCATGCATGTGCACACTGGAAACTGGAAGCTCGTGTGTGCCGGGGAGCTGATCTTCCAGTTTCCAGTGCTCCTGCGCACACAAAGATCAGCTGGCAGGTGCGCAGGCACACACCAGAACCCAAAAGAGAAACAGGTGACGGCTGGCGTACCAGAGAGGTGTCTCTGTGTGCCACTTCAGCACATGTGCCATAAGTTCGCCATCACGGGCCTACCGGGTCATAAAAAGAAGAAAAATCCAATTTCTCAGAAATCCTTGCTCTTTCAAAAACAAGACAAAACAACTTTGACTTCTCATTCTGGATTGTGTACAGAATTTATAGTGTTGAACCTTGTGATTGATCACCATTTTTCAACACTGAGGCATGCCTCAAATTAACCTTGTTCAATATAGTGTGTTATCTATGCTTTTTTAGTGCTTTACACATTTTGGGTAGGTTTTGTCATCATTATTAATGGAAGCACAGATTAATAAGATTGTGATATATTAAGGAAATGGCAAAGTCTAGGCTATGCATAAACAATAGATCTGTACATAATGTGTGCTGAATCTACCTGTCTTTCAAGATCTTTTTCAAGTGTTCTCAAAGTGAGGAGGATGGAGCTAACAGATTAACAGAGTTGGAAGGGACCTTGTAGGTCATCTAGTCCAACCTCCCACCCACCCAAGCAGGAGACTCTACACCATTTCTGACAGATGCCAGTCCAGTCTCTAATTGGATGCACAGTATAATTGCACAGTATGCACAGTATCATTGTATGTATGTATGTGAGAACCAAGCAAGGTCAACATGTTTTCTGAGTTTGTTTCTTGGTGATATGATACTGCAATTGATAAAATGTAATGAAATTTGCTAATGTGAGTCTTTTTCACCCTTAAGTTTCCAATGGCAGATTCATCCAGCGACTCTGATAACATTCGTCGTAGAATTGGAAGAAGGGGTCCTATAAGAGCAACCAGAATCCGAAATCATGGAACTGAAGATGTTGCAGAGAAGATTCACACTTTAGCAAACACTTTACAGGTTGCTATGAATGGTCTACTTTAAAGAACAATTTTGTAGAATTACAAGGAAGGGTTCTAATTCTATATGGTCAAATAATTTTCTTGATTTGTAACACTGAGCCTGGAAGAAGTTTGTTTATTTAGTCTGATTCTTAGTAGTTTGTTTAGTAGTAGTTCCCAGACTTTAGCCTCTATCTGTTCATAAAGCAGTGGCTATAAATACAGGAAGAACATCAAATCTTAGACCTGCTTTTTCAAAAGCAGTGGCATCCGGTAAAAAGACTAGTCTGGGAACAGAACATCTTGATGAATATTAAGACACTCCATTTTGTTTGGATTTAATCTAGCTACTGTTTCAATGTTCTTCTCAAAAAAGGCTAAGTTAGAGACAAAACACTTGTTATCGAGGATGGCTGAGTCTCTTAAGGAAGGGGTGCACTACAAATGGCAATCCCATGACTGTGGGACACTGTGATGGTTGAAAAGCCTTCTGGTTGCAAAATGCCCACATCTCAATCATGTGACCGTGGGATGCTGCAATGGTCATAAGGGTGAGGACCACTCATAAAACGACTTGTTCAGTGTCATCACAACTTTGAACAGTCATTAAACAGGACAGCTGCTAAGCGAGAATTATTTATTGATTTAAACTGTAAATACCTACATAACCTTTTTATAAAAATGGCCAAGATGATTCATAATATACTAAAACCCACATTTTGTTTTTTTTAAAAAATACAATTTGAATATAAATTGGGAAGTCCGATTGATTATGTGCTTTATATCTCTCCATATTTAGATATAGTTAAGCATCTGTTTTTAACTAAAGAAAGAAAGAAAATAGACCATAATAGGGAACAAAATGCTGAGGGGTCATCAGTTTTTGTGCTTGACTATAACATAGTCATAGCGCATGCACTTTACATGCAAAAGATTCCAGGTTCAGTCATTGATAAACCTGAGAAAATTTGAGACAGGTTTATGTCTATGGAGAATCTCAGTCACCCAGGTCATGGTTGTCCCAAAGGTGCTTTTTCAAGAGGCAACTGGAATTTCTGGTTTTTCTTTGAAGTCGTTTTTTTTTTGCTTGTCATCCAAGAAGCTTCTTCAGAAGCTGAAGAAGCTTCTTGAATGAGAAGCAAAATGTCTTCAAAAAAACCCCAGAAAGTCCAGTTGCCTCCTGAAAAACTGAGGTTCTACTGTAGTTTTTTTTAGATAGTTTTAGATAGTTTCTACACAGGTCAGTGGTTTAACTCCATACAAGTTCACTTCCTGTAGTCTTTTTGGTTCACTAAGTTTTAATATTCCTAAATTACCTACAATCAAGAAAACAGTAATATATGCAGGTTTCTGAATACTGCCACATATTCAACATGGTTATAACTTTAGGCAGACTATGAGGTTAATTGATTAGAGCAGCATTTCTTAATAGTGACAACTTTACGTATGGGCTTCAACTCCCAGAATTCCCTAACCACTGCTGACTGAGGAATTCTGGGAACTGCTCCACACATCATAAAGCTGCCAAAGTCAAGAAACATTAGGTTGGAGCAAGTACAAATTTAATACACTTTTGACAACTATATTGATGTGGATCTCCTTAGAACCCTAAAAGGAGGCACCATATTAATAATTGTAAGAAAGTTGAATAAATAAGTACAACATAAATATCAATGGGGATTAAACTGGTTGTGACTCTAAGGATACATATTTGGTTAGAAAAGCACACAAACTACTTGTTTTGAATATTGACCTCCCTCGCTCAACCCTCATTTCACATTCAGTATTTATAGGCTGGATTATAGTTTAATTATATTTTCTTCTCACATTTAAAGGATGCAAACTGGAATTTAAGACATGTGGATCAGATGTTGGGCCAATATCGAGAGTATAACAATGAGCAGGCAGAAACCATTGCAAATGTAAGCAGCTATGGATCAAATTTAATAATTAGAATCTGTACAAGTATAACATTCCTATTTCTGTTCTATTCTTTAGTGCATTTTGAAGGAAAATTGTCTTCTAGCTAACAAGTTGCCATTTTCATATAGCTTAAAGAAACTTTGGAAGAGTCCCTGGGCCAACTGAAGAACCAACGTTTATTGAAAAATTCTGGAGTAAGAAGCGCATCTCTTTCAAGCTTGTATGCGAGTGACCTGGATGGTGGAACCCCAGGTATGTTTAATGAACCTCATGCTGTAATCATATACTTACTTAACCTGTGGGCGTCCTATTGAATATACAGTACATTTATAGTTTTATGGATATAGCAAACTCTTTATTGATTAATTTTGCTTTGTAGTAGCTATGTGTGAATAATGTATACCTGTAAGTATGCTGGAAAATATAAGGTTTGAACAGATTAATACTGGTATCTTGGCAGATTCATGGAAGAATAGACAGTCCTTCATTTATGGATTATATTTCAGGGGAAATTTGTGTTGATTTTCCTATCTTTCTTTCTGTGAAGAAGCTCATCATGTCAAGCCTACCTCTCCTCTCAAAGATTACAGTACAACACTAGGTACCAGGCAGCGACGATCTAGATCTGCTGTTCGATTTGTTGATCAGCGAGGTAAATTGGACCAGGTGAGTAGGTATTCTTAAAAGCACATAGGCTCATGGTTTTTCCCCTGTAACCACTTCTTCCAAGTCCTTTTTACTTTATTGCCAATTATAATGAAGTCTATAATTCAGCATTAAGTTGTTGATGTAGACTTTGAAAATTACTGTATATCTGTGAAGTTCTTGGTTGTTTGCTTACAGATGCGTCATACCCAACTAGGTAACATCATCAGTGTGAGTGAGCATGGGAAATTGACATATAGTAGCTTGCCCTGCCAGTTTTGGTGGGGGTGTGGCTTCCCCTTTGGTGGTTCTTTGATTGGAGGATTGCCTTCTGCATGATGTTTATTTGATGTTAATTCTTGCTTACCTGAATGTGCTTGCTGAAAGGGATGTGCTTTAGTTGTTTCGCTTCATTTCTAGTTTTTTATTATCTCATGTCAGTGGTGTAAAATATAAAAATATTTATTTGAATGCGTCTGTTGATGGCTGATTTGTCTGAGTGCCAGGCTTTCTGGAATTCCCTAGAATTTTGGATTTGGCTTGTTCTAAATATTAATTGGGTTGAAAGTGTGGCTGAGTCTATCCATTTGCTGTGAATTGAAGGATTCCCCCCCCCCCAACTGATTGTTAGTTGATGTTTGTAGTTAAACTCCGTTAATCTTCTGTCTCTCCTATATGTTAACTAGAATGTTTGAATTGTATATTGTAGATCAGGGGTCCCCAACCACCGGGCCGCGGACCGGTATCGGTCCGTGGATCACTTTGCACCGGGCCACAAAGAAAATAAAAAATAAAATAAAAATGGCGGCTTTCTTCGCCTTCGGTGAATGCTGCTGGGATCAGGGATCAAGGACACAAATGAAAGAAGGGGAGGAAGGGAAGCAACCAAAGCCTGTCCTACTCTCTGGCTCAGTGGCTTCGGTTTCCTCCCGCCTTGTTCCTCTCTCAGTCGCTCTCTCGCTCCTCCACCAGCCCAGGAAGAAACTGCTTCAAAGAAGCCGGCAGGGTGGCTTTTCCTGTTGGCGCAGCTCCCCCGAAGCGCCCGTTCACCCCCACCCCTCCGCCAATCAATCCAGGTTCAATCCAGTGCTCCGTTCTGCCTGCCTGCCTGCCTTCGTTTCTGGTTGTTTCGGAGCAGCTTCGGCTGAGAATATTAACTATTCGCCACTTTTACTCAGCCGAAGCTGCTCCGAAACAACCAGAAACGAAGGCAGGCAGGCAGGCAGGCAGGCAGAACGGAGCACTGGATTGAACTGCGGGCGGCGGGGTGGGGGTGAACGGTCGCTTTGGAGGAGCTGCGCCGACAGGAAAAGCCACCCTGCCGGTTTCTTTGAAGCAGTTTCTTCCTGGGCTGGTGGAGGAGCGAGAGAGCGACTGAGAGAGGAACGAGGCAGACACCTGAGGGATGAGGCTGAGGGAGGGAGGGAGACACCTGAGGGATGAGGCTGAGGAAGGCAGGGCCGAGAGGCGGGGCTTCTCAGCCATCCTGCAGGGACTTGTCCTGAGCCGCGGAGACAGCCGTGGGCCGCCGCCACCCAGCGCTCAGTTTTGAAGGCGCTCTTCAGCCCGGCGCAGTTCCTGAATCTGCAGCTGAAACCCTCCGTTTTAAATGTCCCAATAGAAGAGAATATCTGTCGTTCAGGGTTGCAATGAGGAGGCATTGGCGCTCCCTGAACTTGGTGGTTTGCTGGCAGACGTTTTATTACCCGACTAGGTAACAACATCAGATGTTACCTAGTCAGGTAATGAAACGTCTGCAAGCAAACCACCAAACTCGGACTCCTCCCCCCCCCCCCCGGTCCTTGAAAAAGTGTTTCTGCGTGAAACTGGTCCCTGGTACAAAAAAGGTTGGGGACCACTGTTGTAGATGACTCCTGTTTGTTTTTTTCTTCCTGGGCTAGTGGGACTTTGTATATCTTTTTAGGACAATTGCTCCATGTTACTAATCACAATCACGAAGAAAAGAAAACAAACTTAAATTGCACTAAAGCAATTTTCTTTTCTTGCATTTCAAAATAAAACAGTTTATGCCAATTAGTACTTTCAAAGCTTACGTGGAATTTTCTAGTGTGCTGCTAATATTACTGTGTTCTAAAAATGTACCATCTTCTTCTCAAAGATGAACCATTAAAATGTTTTTTCTATTTTGTGTAATGCTACGCATTCCCAATAACATTCGTATCCAGTATATTTTTAATTTTAGTGATATGTCCTAAGCTTATTAAACCTAATTGCTTAAATGTAGTCTTTCAGCATGCAAGTGGTGAAATGTTTAGATAATAGCTAAGCAAACCATATTTAATAGTAATTTTTTTAAAGGTTTTAAATGTGATACTACATTTTATCAGTGCAATCCAATATATTTATTATGTATTATATAGGAATAACTGTATAAATTGTATATAAAACTGCTGTAATCTAAGGATTACTTGAACTACTATTTTGAGTAATGTTTACTGCTGTTACTATTTGCAATTTCTTTTGTTAGAGAACAAAAATAGATTTTGGTAATGGCTTTTCATAAAATGGGCTCTAAAATAGCTAGTGTATTTTAAAATGTTTAAAACAGTCACTGCTCAATGCTAATATGGAAAGAGACTTATCAATCTAAGAATAGCATAGCAAGATAGTTAAAGAGAGGTGAGAGAAATTTAGAACAGTAAACATCAACAATATAATAAAACATAGTTTAAGAAGAGTGTTTTAAGAGTCTTGGGTGAACAATATTTACTGGCTTAAATCTCAGTTAGCAGATATTTAAAAGGTAGTGCCAGTAATTGGAAAAATAATAACATTTTGAAAAAAAGTAATGCATTTTTTAGCGTAAAGGAAACATTTGAGTAAAAAATCTGTAGAATATTATGTAATTCTGAAAGAAAACTAAATACTAAAATATTTCAATAAATTTTGCCCTGAACTAGTTACATAGGATTGACCTGGGTCTTTTGGTCTAATTTGAATAGATCTTAATATACAAAGATGCAAAAATCTAATAATTAGTTCCTTCTTTCTAATTATTGTTATTGTAGCTGTTTTGTAGCTTTCAGTATTTTGAAAAGCGTACTGAAAAATATACAATATATCTATACTAAATGATAGAAAAATATGTTCAAAACAGCTAATTATATTCTGTATGTGTTCATACTGCAGTTGCATTCTTTACACCAGTCACTTAGAGATCTCAGCAGTGAACAAATTCGCTTAGGAGAAGATCTCACCAGAGAACTTACAAGAAGAAATCGGTATGACATTAAATAATGACTTTGGTTGGTGAAGAAACTTGAATGTTTAACATTAGGATCAAATATTTGATGTTAGATGGTGCTGTTCAGTCATTTCCTGCATTACATTATGTGTTATTTTTACTACATCTGCCTAATAACAGAAGTTCTCTGGCACATTATCAAAGTTATAAAAATATTTAAAAATCCAATAAAAGCAATAAAATAACATATATCAAAGCCAATTTTTGATATAATGTGGACATTTGTTAAAATAAAGCATACAAAAATGCCTTGTTGAAGAGAAATAACGTAGCCAGATATGGAAATAATACTAAGTGGCTGCAAAGTTACCTTCCTTGGGAAGGCATTTTTTAAAATTGCAATTATACAGCTGGAAAACCTGTCCCTCATCGGACCCTGTCCTTTATAAAATTCTTCCAAAACTTCACTTGGCAGCTTGGGGAAGAACAGTGCCTGGATAGATACATATAGGAGATGTTGCTTGCTCTACTCTGATCCCAAATTATTTAGAGCTTTAATAATCATCAGCTATCTTGAATAGAGTCTGTAAACAAATTATAGAAATCAGTCACCAAAAAGACTAGTCTTTTTTAGGGGAAGATATTCAGTACTGGTGCCATAAGTTAAAATACCATTTTTTGGCCTTAGTTCCCTTAGCTCATGAAAATGGGACATGACTAGCAGTTTCTCCCAAGTGGACTTTGGTTGAAAAAGGCACCCAAACCATAAAGAATGTATAAGTTAAAACCAGGAGTTTGAATTGTACCCAAACCTATTAGCAACTAATACAGGGCCCATTATACAAGTGTAATACAGCAATAACAGTAGCACTTAGACTTATATACCACTTTATAGTGCTTTACAGCCCTCTCTAAGCAGTTTTACAGAGTCAGCATATTGCCCCCAACAATCTGGGTCCTCATTTTACCCATCTCGGAAGGATGGAAGGCTGAGTCAACCTTGAGTCAGGTGGGATTTGAACTGCCAAATTGTAGGCAGCAGATAATCAACAGAAGTAACCTGCAGTGGAGACTTCCGGTTTGTCGGCTTCGCGAGCGGCAGGGATTTGCGAAGCTGCGCGATCCCTGCCGCGCTAGCCATTTTTGGGGCTCCGACCCAGCCGGGTACGGAGCTAGGCTGCCCTGCAGGGGCAGCTGAAGTAGGGGGGATCCGGAGAAGGGTTTGGGGGTGCTGCAGACTCCCTCCCTGGCCGGCAGAACTCCCTTTTCCCAGGACGGTGCAGCGGCGGTCTGTAATGGCCGCCACAAAGAAGCTGGCAGCCGGGTAAGAATGCGCAGGAGGAAGTGGAGAAAGTGATTGAGAGGAGAAAGTTTTTCTTGGCTCCTAGGACTCTAAGACATATCTAATAAAATTCCTGAAAAGTATGACTTTCTGAATAATACCTGCCAGAAGAGGAAAAAAGCGGCTGTTTGAAGGTGCTGAAAGGATAGCTTTCCCTCTTTTCCTACGGAATAAATAACTGGATATTAAGAAACCTATTTCTTTTAGGTGAAAATTGGTTTTAAGCGATGAGTGGGAAGAGAGAGGATTAAAAAGAAAACATTTGTATGCTAAGACTTTGTTGGAGCAGATGCCTTAAGGATTTGAAGACTAGAATATATTGCAATAAGATTTTAAACAGATTTGGACTTTCTTTCTCTTGGATTGGTATTACCCCAGAAGGAGAAAGTGAGAACTCTGCCTTGGTTTGGACTGACTGATAACTTTGGGACTGTTTTATTTTTTTTATTTTCTTTTGAATATTCTGGTTGTTGTAAGAAGAAAGAAGGGGAAAAGAAAAGAAAAGATTTATAATGGCTCTTTCTGTTGAGGCACTAAGAAAAGAATATGAACAAGCAAAAAAAATGGTAAAGATGGTGTGGAAGAAGCTTTCCTTTTCTTAGAAATGGCGCTTATTAATTATCAACAAACATTACAACAGATGAAGACAGCAGAGGAACAAGAAAGAAAGAAAGGAGCCATTTTTAATGAATCTCAGAACTTGATCCAGAAAGAAGGAAGAGAGAAAGAAAAGAAAAGAAGAGAAAAGAAGAAAATTAAAGGACTTAAGGACTTAAGATCTAAAAAAACATTTAAGAAAGGGAAAAATAAGGTGCAAAACCAATATGATGATAGTAAACAAAAGGGAAAAGGAATACGACAGAGAAGGGAAGCTGGCAAGGCAGAGGCTAGAAGAAGGGGGGGTAGAAAGGTTTGTTGGGAGAAGAAAGAAAGGGAAAAGGTGGAGAAAAGCTACAATGTTTTGAAATTAAATGAAAAAAAGAAATTTTTTTTGGATAATGGATAAAGTATAATTTTTTTTAAAAAAAAAAGATTTTGCAAGGTACATAAGATGAGATGGTAGTATTGTAATGATTTAAGAGTTGATAAGAGATTAAAATGTTAAAATGTTTAAAAATGATTGGCTTTAAAACTTAATAATAGGGGAGGTTTAGAATATTGTTTTAATTAAAGAGTTTAATAAGACTATGGTATTGATGTTATTATAAAATTTTTATTATAGTATCTTTTTTTAATATTTGGATTTATTGTCTAATTATGTACTTAATTATGTTGGATGTATTAGTTAGATAGAATGTACCAAGCAAAATCGGATTGGGTATTAGATATTATTTTAAAGATTAATTTGATTAACTTAGGGGGGAGATAGAAAGGCATCATACTCTGATTAATGATTTCAGGAGAAACTTATTTTCTTTTTTTTTTTATAAGGAATGAGACAAAGGGATGATAAAAAATGGACAAAAGATATAAATATAATGATTCAAATTAAGATGATTAATTAAGATAGAAGTAAGAAGTGTGAAATATGTGGGGAAGTTAATATAGAAGGCTTAGAGTGGTAAATAAAATAAGTAATGATATGTAAGATGAGCATGAATATAATTGAAGTCCATGAAGAGAGAGACACCTGGGTCCAAGTTACTTTCCAAAAAGATTTTTTTTATGTTTTGTGTGTTGTGTGTATATGTCTTTTTGGGGGGAGAATTAGTTAAAAATTGTAGAAATATAGATTGAGAATAATGGTAACTAAGTCAGAAAGAAACAGATGAAATAATAATAATGATATTGAATAAGAGTAAAGAGAAGTAAAGAGAAATTGAATAAGAGGTTTTGGTATGTTGTATGGAAATGGTTTAAAACAGAATTATAATTTATCTGACTTGTTAAATTGACAATGAAAAAAGGTTTAAACATGTAATGAATAATGACAATTTGTGTGTTTTAAAAATTAATAAAACTTGTTTTATAAAAAAAAAAAAAAGAAGTAACCTGCAGTACAGCACTCTAACCATTGCACCACCGAGGTTCACTAATCACTAATATAATAATAGTGATTAATACCTGCCAACAAGCAGGCCATTTCATTCTGAAACATTAGCAGTTTCTAAGTAGTTAGAACAGAATTAAGCCATCTGACTACTTCTTCATCTATTTATGCTATAAACTTCAATTATTTGGTATATTCCCATTTATTGGGGTTCCTTCTCATTAGAGGAGAGAGAAAACAAAGCAAAACAAATCCTGTTCTAAAACAGGATTTTTGAAAATAAGAAGCTAGTGCAATTTTGTAATAAAGATAGAAAATAATTTGCTTAATGTAGTGCATGGTATACTTTCAAGAATTATGTGCTTTTCTTTGTTTTACTCTAAGAAGTGATGCAGATATGAAAAAAAGATTAGAAGATATATCTGGCAGACTTGATGAATCGCAAAGACAGGAAACGGTAAGGGTATTGAAAAATCAATAATCATTATTTCTTAAATAGGTTTTGGATTTGGATTTATTTATAAATGTGTGTGTGTGTGTGTGTGTTTGTATATATGTATCTATATATCTTTCTATCATCTCTCTATCATCTATCTAGATATATATATAAATAAATAAAAATAAATATGGAGTGCTAGAAAAAAGTTCCAGCCTGTGTCTGAGCTGAAACCTCTTAGACTTTAATATGATTGTAGCTTTTCTATATAAAAAACATAACGGTATATGTCCTTTTCTACTTGTTATTTAGAATTTCTTGAATTTTATCTGAATTAAATTTGGGAGCTATTTTTATATATTTTGTAAGTATGTTCATATTTCACTCCTTTTATTTCATGATGAATAAATATTTGAGGAGGAGTCAAGCCTCATATAAACACATATATTTAAATCTTTAAATGTCTTCTATTTTCAGAAGATTTTCAGAAGAAGGTGTCCGTCAGATTCATGTATGAAATTAAATTTCCAAGCAGATGAGAATATTTCAGAATAGAAACCAACCTTGTTTTGAATCTGGGTTCCATCTGGCAATGTACTGTAACAGTTATAACAGGATTCTTTACTTTTGTGAGTCAGTATGATAGGGGAAGAGAGGGGAGTATGAGATTCAGGTCTGTGGATCAAATTACCTGTGAAATCCCAATGAGACTGGGAACAAATGACTTTTATGACCATGGTACTTCAGTTGCTTTGTTGTGGAAATTGGTAGAGAGATATTTTAAAAAAATAGAATTAGATTTATTTTTCATTGCAGTTATCATTGTCTAATTTCTCATCTGGAGTTCTTGTATAGTAATGAAATAGATTAAACATTTATTATTACAATATACGATTAATAATAATTTGTACATAATTTTATTTACCCTCTGTATCAAGCCCAGGAATCAGTTCTATTGGAAAGAGGCTTCATTTCATAAGACCATACCTTTCCTTGCACAATACTTTCTCATTCTGGTTTTTGAATCTTCCCACCATTTCAACATTTATGCTAGTCTGTAGCCATGTAAAAATAATACAGACATTTAAAAATAACTAGACAACCTGTGATTTGTTGGGTCATCCTTTCATATTTCCTCACGAGATTCCTTAATGCTTTCAACAGTGACTGAACTTCTAACTTCAGAAGAAAAGCTGGGACAGATTCAGATGTATCTGCCTGGAAAATAACCCATGTTGAACTTTGTAGCACAGTCAAAAATCAACACGAAATATGTTATGGCATTTTGTGTTATGTCATAACATATTTTATGATAATTCTTATGTCATAAACAGTTTGTAAAATTTGCCAACTTTCAATTCCACATGAATCATGGGGCCCAGATTTCTATAAGTCCATTTGAAGTGCTTTGGTTCAAAAATTATTGCCCTATGAAGCACACTTTTGCCCAGTTAAAGGTAACAGAAACAGGAGTTTTAGTAATAAATAGATTTTTTAAAAGTTTGTTGTACTATGTGAAGTTCAGCACAAGTTGTCCCTTCATAACAATTAAATTTTCATCCATAGCCATTTATGTTTTTTTCCTACTGTACTTATAGAACTATGTCAGTTTCTTTTTCTGAGTTGGGGATTTAGTCAAATGAGTCTAAATCTTCCCAAGTACAGCAAATAGATCAAGATATTGTAGTTGTAGCCCTTGGAGTAAAGCTGTTAGATTCTGTTAATGGACATTACTTGTGGCGAGGGAAAACTGACTCTAATGCTACCATAGTTTTATTATGGCTGGAATCCTGTGGACCCATTATCAGTCATCAGTAATTGTTTTTTGTTCTTATAGCAGTTGAAGAGCATTGTGCACATACAAGAACCATCTTCATTTTTTCCCTGTTGTTTGTAATTTCAAAAAAGAAAAGAGACTAGTTTCTTTTTCATCCCTGCAAGACTAATTATGCAAGTGTCATTCAGCTAAAGCATACAAACTAATCCCTCTCTCTTCTTGCTGATTTCAGAAGAAAGTGGAATACAGTACATTGATATATGGCCAGATTGCTTTACTAGCAATTACTAGCAATTATTAGTAATTGCTAGTAAAGTACTAGCAATTAATAGTAATCAGTTACTATTACTATCGACTCTTTTCTTGCAGTGTTACATTTCTGTTCGGGTTCTTTAAGTATTCTTAAGTGTGCAGTTACATTTGCCATAGGTTTAACAAAGAGCTTCAGTTAGAATGTGGCTGTCAGTCTTTGACAATTTTAATGGACCTTAGGATCCCCTTTTCTATCTTTGGGCATTTATGCTTGGTAGATTGATCCCACTCGGTTTGGTGCTCCCTATGTAGTAACATCTCTGCTAACCTGTCTTCGATGATTTAAATTACTGAGGAACTAATATTTTGTCAGGTGTCTGCAACTGTATAATTAAAATTTTGGTTGCTAGTCATTTTACCTCTTCTTCCTCCTCCTCCTCTAAGTCCAACAACTCTTTTCCTGCCAGCTTCTTAATCTATTTCAGTTTCCTCTCTCCTCTCATTAGGAATACTGCTTATGTGAAAACAAAAAAAACCCTTTTTTTAAATCTCACCTTTTTTCCATTCTCAGGTTGTCAACTGTAAATACAGTTTATATGTATGACAGGATGGCAGACAGAGTTTAACATCTTCTTCATGAATATCTTAGTTTAATTTATTTTAACAATTTATCTGGCTGCTATCTTGCGAATGAGCCTGTGAGAGACTAACAGCAAATTAAAACCTTTCACAAGTAACAACCCAAAATAGTTTGAATGATTCTAACAAATAATATGATATACTTAAGATTTAAACAACCCATTCCCACTTGCAAATCAATAGCAGACCGATAAACAACAAACCAACCAATTGAGTTCGTCTAACATCCGGACTCCAATTTTTAAGGAAAAGTTATAACAGGGTAATGATCATCTGAATCTTTAGGGGAGGGGATGAGAGATACTGTTGTAGAGGGCAGGTTTTGCAACAGAGAAGGCATGCCTTCTAGGTTCTATTAGATAATATTACTTTGTAGAAGGGAACTAGAGCATACCTATCATGTTAGATCTGGTACGGTGAACAGAAATTATTGAAACCAGCAGACTTGCAAATAACTTGGCCTGTGCTACATAAGGTTTTGAATTGCACCTGGAAACCAACTGGAAGCCTGTGGAATTCATAGAACACTGATGCTATAGAACAGGGCTGCCAAACTCCCAGCCCGTGGGCCGGATGCGTCGCACGCTGACCATGCCCACACCCGGTTTAGCAAAGGGAAAAAAAGTCCTGATACATCATGTGGCGCTGCCGTGACGACGTGAGTTTGAAACCCCTGCTACAGAAGCATATTAAGGCATATTCCAAATTCCCTATGCCCTATGCATTCTAGATCAGTTGCAGCCTTTGGATGGTCTTCAAGGGCAGCCGCAATGCATTACTGTAATTGGGAGGCGACTACAGTGTGTTCATGAGCAAGGCCTCTCAATTGAGAAACGAGTGCAATTGGCACACAAGATAGATTTTTGCAAAGGCCCTCTAGCCTTGGATCAGGAGCTTGAGACCAAGAGGACAATCTAAATTGTATGCCAGGGAAAGTGCAACTCTATTCAGAGATAAAAAACAACAACTCCAGCACCAAGGTGCCTCAAAAGTCACAGCAGTTTGGTTTTACCAAGGTTGAGCTATAGTATGTTCTTTTGCATTCAAATCCCCCCAGCCTTTAGACGTTAGAAAGTCCCTTAATAGCATTACTTGGTTATCACAGGGTGGAGATATAAATAGTGTATTATCACTGTACTGATGATACCTTGGCTTCTGCAAATGAATGACCTCCTCAGCTTCATGTAGATGTTGAATAGAAGAGAATAAATCTCTGAGACACCTTGAAAAATAGGAATCAAAGGCTAAATCCGTGGTGGCAAACCTATGGCACGCGTGCTGGAAGTGGCACGCAGAGCCATTAATGCCGGCACGTGAACCCTCGTCCAGAAAAGGTCTACTGCACTTGCGCATGCGCCACCCGCCCACCTGCTGATTGTTGGGTATCTGGCACACATGAGTGGTGGTGTGGCAGCGTGGCGGTGTGGCAGCGTGTGGGAGACATGCACGCATGCAAAGAAGCACGCGATGCATGCCGGAAGTAATGTGTGCAGGCGCAAAAGCACGCAGTGTGGGCTACGCAGGTCATGTGTGCCTGCGCAAGGGCATGGGGCATTGCCTTCTGAATGATGGCACGTGAGCGTGAGTACACAAGGGCGCACGCAGTTATTGGCATGGGAGCCCCCAAAAGGTTAGCCATCACTGGGCTAGATTTTTCTCCCCACCATCACCAACTGAAAGCAGCCCTGGAAAAAGGAGGAGAATAAATGTAATAGTGTTCCTCCTCTCTTAACATGGTCCAGAAGTATCCATGATCCATGACACTGAAGGATGCTAAGAGTCATAGAGGCCAAAATAACTGTTCCCCACATTCTAGATCTGAAAGATATTGTCTATAAATGTGACCATTGCAGTGATTTAACAAGTCCAAAGCATGAGTGAAAAGGGTCCAGATAAGCCATTAACTCCAGGGCCTTCTGGAGCTAGATGTCAATTATCTTCTCAATAACCTACTTTAAAATGGAAAAGTGAAGACTAGACAAAAATAGTTCAATTTTCTGAGATCCAGTGATGATTTCTTAAGGGGAGAGCAGCCTACTTCCTTTTTCAGAACTGGTGAACTATTCCCTCCCTCAAAGTTTGAAAACTAAGTCTTCATTACATTGATATTTTTTAAATGTCTTTTCTCACAAAAAAGAAAATCTTGCATCTTTTGTATTATTATTATTTTTTACTCAAATCAACTAACAGCAGAACATATATAAAAATAGGTTTAAAAACTAGGAATGTCACTGTACAAAAAGTTACTTTCATTTGTGAATGAATTTATGTGGGAAACAAGGTAGACTAGGCAGCAGTGTATCATTTCTAGCTTTGAAAAACACTTGTGCAAATGAAAGTTTAAAGACATGCTAAGTAAATGCTACTTGCCACTAGAGGGTAGTGTCTGCAAATAAATAAAGGGGAAAAAATTCAGCTCCTATCAAACATGAATGCTTCCTCTATCTTACAAAGTAAAAAAATTGAAGCAAGGAATTGCAATTGAAATAAAATTCCTAATTCATTCAGTCATATTTTATTATTTGAAAGTTAGACATTATTTTAATTCAGTTCTTCATTTGTCATTTAGGAAAGTTTTAATAACAATTAAAAAAAATGGCACTGATATGTGGAAATATGCTGGCATTGATATATGGAAATACAATTTTTTCACATTACTGCCCTGATCTAATTCTACATTTACACAGCTAGCAGCCCTGGGAGGAGATGTACATTCCTGCCAATATCAAAATGCTCTTCCTGCTAATTTAACAGAATCCAGATGTGAATGTTGGAATAGAGATTCAGCCTTGTGTCTGAAGTAGCTGCATAACCTAGCTTTAGCATGGGAATCTCTTACTGGACGTGGCGCAACCGTGTTTTGATTGATGATTATTGCATTTTCATATTCCATAACCCATACTGTTGCGATGCAAATGAAAATAATACCCAGTCTCTATTTCTTAGGATATAGTGTGGAAGCAAATGGTTGCAATAAACGTGCTGAATTTAGGCAGATCAGGATCTCATCAATGCCTTAACATCAGAGGATACAGATGTAATTTTCCAAGGGGAAAACAGTGGAGATTAAAAAAAAGACTGAAGTGCAAAATTACATATCTGGATTCATTTTATTTTACATACAGTAATTTGTTTTGATGTTACTATAAGGGGAATGACAAAGTACTAGGCAGGATATGAAACTCCACCAGTAAACAGAAATATTATGCTTGGTTTGTTTTCTAAGATTTCTTCTGGCTTAAATTATTTTCAGAGTCTTAGATCTTCAAGTAAACAAATGCACAACTTGGTATAAACAATTAGAATAGTCTAATCCATCTATTCTTAGTTTTCATGTCCACTGTATTATTAATGCAAATGGTGATAGGGAGAAAAGTTAATTGGTAGCAGTGCACAAGAGATATTTTCTTAGTAAAACTTATTGCTTGAGTAGCTGCAGCTTAATTGTAAGATAGCAGGTTGTACCTAAATTGCGTTCTTCCACTGATGGACATTTAGCAGTATAAAAGCTGTCTCATATAAATATGTCTTATGAGTGGTTTATGGATCTTTTTGATAAATTTAGCTTTTAAAACGGGCTAAATCACAGTAGTATAGCATATTCATTGCTTATAGAACATTGCAGATTCAAACTCCTGCATTTCTAGATAGAAATGGACAAATCTTGTTTCATAATTTTAAGATCTTCTGCTATCTGGTACCAAAACTAGCTGAACTAATGGTCTTATTTAAGGAAAGGAGGTTCCTATGATCCAGTAGAGGATTCTATCAGCACAACTCAAAATAAAACGATTTGCAGCAATTTCCTTATATCTGAAGTCTTTCCATGCTATTTCTCATTTTGTGCTGAAGGTTAGTAGACCAGTTGTGAGGTCAGATCAAAACCAGGGCAAAGGGAATGTCTATTTCCCTGTTCTGCTGGTGAAAAAAAAATGCAAGAGAATCTTCCATTAATAAACAGATTCCAACCAGATATGACCATATTGATTCCGTTTTGTTCAGGGTACTATCCGGTTCACATTAGTACAATAAGCGCATCTTATAACACTGTTAGTGTTTGGAATAAATCAAATATGCAATTGGGTCTTGGTACTTACTTTCCTTTTTCTTTGTGATGAATTTGGAGCATTTATGTTTGCTTTTTTAACATGGTGACAAAAGTTTCTTCTCTGAAATCTGCATGCTCATATAGGTATCAGAGCGGGTAGAGAGAAGACTTCAAGAGATTGAACGAGAAATCCGATCAGAAAGGCAATTGGTAGAAAGACGCCAAGACCAACTGGGACACATGTCTGCACACCTGCAGGAAGTAAGCATCAAGGCCTTGGTATATGTTTAAAACTGTTTAAAAGTGCTTCATGTTAGCAATCTAGCCTGAGTAAATTAAAGGGATGACTTCCTTTGCCCCCTCCCCTCCTCCTTGATAGAAGTCCTGCAAACTAAGAAGACAGTGATGAAGTGTGGCTCCCAGATTTAAACAGCAAAATTTAAATAACTGCCGGTTGACAGCATAGCAATAGAGAAAATCTCTCCGTTGCTATCCAGTGCAATTTCAAGTCCAGATCTAGTAACTCTGCTTCTACACACATAAAAAGATTTCTCATGCTGGAAGCAGGGAGTATTGGTTCCCATTATACAATAGTTGAAAGGATGCTGTCTTAAAACAATTTCAGGTACATTTAAGATTTAAACTATTGAAGGTATTATTAACAGCCAGTAGCACATATTTTTCTTTTGAAGAGGTAAATGTAATGTAATGGGTAGCCAGTTTCCTGGTGCCGTATAATCAGCTGTGTTTGAATGAAAATGCACCCAGGAGAACAAGAGTCTGTGCTGTGAAGGCAAACTGAGCTATTATTTGCTTTGGAACAGAAAATGAAAGCCTTTCCTACCTTTTCTTTGAAAAGAATGCATAAAGTGCATAGGGGAGAGGTAGTTAATTTGCTCCACCCCTGTACTTGAGAAGCTAGGGTTTTTAAATATATAGCTTATAATTTTGGAATTAATTTAAACGTCTGGGCAATTAGTGGCAGTCATTTTCAATTGACTTTACTCTGTTGTCTCACAGAGCCTATGAAAAGTTTAATATCATATTTGGTTGCTTTAATAAATGTAGTGACCTGGGTGCATTTTTCTGAAAAGCAATTGCAGATTATATAGAGAAGTATAAGTCACTAGATATTAATTTAGATGGATGCTTTCAGTTTTGAAAAAAAAAGTGGCTTTCTCACTAGAGGTCACATTAAAAAGAAGAAGGGAGGGGGAAACTACCACACATGTTAAGTTTAGTACAAGTAATAGCTTTTCAACTTCATGTGCTCTTATTGGGTCAGAGATTTTTTTTCCTGGTATTCTCCTTCATTTTTTAAATTACCTTGAATGATTGTAAAAGATTGTGATTGATTAGAGCAAAGAGGAAATGAAAGTGGTTAAGTTCTGCAGTGAATATTCTCACGATGTCTAGCAATTTCTTTCCATTGCTTTTGGGGTTCTGCTTATTTTGGATTCAGGAAGTTGATGTATAATTTAATACCATACTATACCCTGCAAACCCAAATGTGCACTTTTACAAGGTGTTATACCTTGTTGTTATTTAAAAAAAAATTACATATGCTTGGTAGTGAATATTTTGTTAACGTTTTTCATACAAACTTTCCCTTTACCTTTTACTATAGTGGGAACATGTTGCTATGGTTTTTGCCTTGATTGAGATCTATTTGAAATGCATATGAAATATACCTTATGATTTTTTACTCTTGATGAATGTATCTTTTATTTTATGTATACTGAAAGCATTTGTACCAAGACAAATTCCTTGTGAGTCTAACCACACTTGGCCAATAAAAAGAATTCTATTCTATAAAGAATTATATTTTCAGATTATACATGGTGATACTGTATTTGGTAATACAGTAGATTGCATTTGGACATTATCTTGCATTGTTTGTTTGTTTGTTTGTTTTATTTGATTCCATTTTCATTCGTGGTCCCCAGTCCCACTGACAAAGTCACATTTTCAGGGCCTATTGGAAAAGTCACAAGGTGCTGGCCGATTGTACATGTGGGGAATGATGTTGCATAGTGAAGGCATCATCACAGAGAAGATCCTTTTTTGTGGCCCCACTTGATGTACCTCTCTATCAAATGGGATCCACAACATACCTTGCCTTCTCATCCTGGTGGGCCAGGTGAATGTAATGGGCAGCTTTCACTAGCCTGGCCTTAGGCCACATAGGACTTCAAAGATAATAACCAGGACCTTAAATTGTACCTGTAAGCAGATTTTATGCAATTTATAAATTTTCTCAACATTAAGGGACCCAGGCAGCAAAACAGAACAATGGTGATATAAGGAGTGCAGTACAATAATATTGCACTGACCAGAACATGGCTGTAACTGGTGATTGCAATAGTCAGTTCAAAATATCTTCTGGTGTAACCAAATATTTATAATCTTCCATAAAATCATAACAGTGAGGGCTACAATAGTACAAACCCATCTCTTTGTTGAGTTCAACCTGTGTATGTGGTTGTTAAAGTTTTTTCAGGGTGGGGTTATACATGAAGAACTTATATTAGTATCTTGCAGGTTTTTCTCCTTGGCAAGTCACCAAGAACTGAGCATTAAGGTTTAATACATTATCGTAAGAACTTGTATAGCTCTTCTGGTTGGGTATGTTTTTCCTATCTCCCCAAACTGTTAAGGTTTTTGACTAAACATCTAAAAAAGCTATGAAGTGGAACCATAAATTATGTGGCAATTTTATAGTTCTTCTCCCCCGTGGCGTATATAACAATGGTAAGTGGCTTAAAGCTGAATGTCAGAGTTGGACACCTTTTGCACAATTGGCAGTATTATATCTCTCTCCGTCTGCTATTTTCCTCAGGAATACCAGCTATATAGAGATCTAACACTTCTGTGTTTTGGAAAGAAGAGCAATGGATTAAAAAGATGATTTTGAATGTACAGATACATAAAGGGTTAATGCCTTATCTTCTTTATCTGGCTTGGGTCTGAAATTGAAGAGAGCTTCTATTGAAGCTAAAGCATTTATAGTTGTTTTACCTACAAAAAGGCTCATGAGAGAGAACTGGACCTCCTTATGGGAGGCATCAAGTGACACTTCCTCATTGCCTGGTTCGAGTTTAGCTATCATCCTCTGATGGAATCAATATTTGTGCAATTCCTTGCAATTCATGCCTCTTTATAAAAAAATTGTAGTTCCGTGCATGAAGCATAGGCTCTGTACCATACTGTACAATGGTTGGTATCCTCTGATAAAAAATAAGAACAGGTCTTCAGTGAAATTTAATTCAATGTTTGGACCAGAGATATTCACAGATTAGTATATGTCAGAATCAGTTTTTATTTTTGAACGATATATAATATGTACATAAAGTTCATATGTATCATCAGACAAAAGAGAACAAGGTAAATATTGTTTAGCATATTTATATATTAATTATTCCCTTGAATCCCATATCTCTTTTTTCTTTCTTTCAAGGCTTTAAAGCAACAAGATGCTAAAGCCAATGGAGCAGAAATTGTCTTGAAAAATAGAATTGCAAAAATGGAAGATGAAAAGAGCAAAGTAAGATTTAAAAATTCTATTGTAGTGATGTTGTATCTTTAGTGACTTTTCCCTGTGTGATTAAGAAAAAAGCTGCATGAACTGTCAGATGGCATAGTTGTGGTTTATGTTTTTCATGTTAAGATATAGAAAGTCTTAAAACATAGAAAGGGAAAGGGAGGGAAACTGATCTGAAACCATTCCTCATCATATGCTGGATTTCTATATGGAAGGGATTTTTGCGCATATTGGAATGTTAAGCCATGTGTTCAGCCTGATGATGATAGTATGCATGGAGCATCTGTTCTACTAATATAAGCTCCCCACAGAACTTTGGATGATCATAATTCTAAATTACGCAGGGAGATCTCTCCAAGTAGAATAATTATCCCCTGGCAAGCATTCACCAATCAGCTAATGAAGTGTAGTCAGAATTATGGTGGATCTTGCTGTTTGTCGCTCCATCTTCATCATGAAATTCTGCTTATAAAGGGGATTTGAACTGAGAAATTGAGCTTCAGACTGAAATTATCTCTCAAACCTAGTTCACAACATTTTTTCATGAAAGGCACTCTAAACAGGACAAAATATACTCCTTTTCTCATTGGTTTTCAATCCTAAATATTGCAACTTTTTTTAAAAGAAAACCCTTTGTTTATTGTCTAAACCAGGGGTCGCCAACCTTTTGGACCTCAGGGACCACCAAACTCATAATTTTAAATTCCAGGGACCACTAATATGAATTTTGACTGACGGTGGCTTGCTGACATTGGTGAGAGAGAAAGAGAGAGAGAGAGATCTGATCTAACCTCTCTCTCTCTTGCTCTCTCTCTCTCTCTCTCACACACACATACACACACACAGGAAGGGGTGGGATTCAAATTTCTTAATAACTGGTTCTGTGGGCGTGGCCTAATTTGTGGGTGTGACGCTGGTCATGTGACTGGCTGGGCATGTACATATAATATGTAAATATTATAAATATTGATGTAAATATTGATTATTATTTTTAAAAAGAGCAACTTTTACCCAAAATCAGGCAAAGCAGGCAGGCAGATTGAGTTGCTCACAGAATCACATATTCACTTAAGAGATCTATATTTCTGCCATCAGCTACCTGAGCCTGTCACATAAAATTTGCTTGCAAGCAAACTCATAAAATTTGCTAGCAAGCAAACTCACAAAATCAACTCACAACACACCATGTATGTAAATATTGATTTTTTTTTATTAAAAAAGAGCAACATTTACTCAAAATTAGGCAGAGCAAGCAAGCAGACTGAGTTGCTCACAGAATCACAGATTCACTTAAAGATCTGTGTTTCTGCCATTGGCTCCCTGAGTCTGCACTGAATAATAGAAGCTTCGGGCTCAGCTCTGCTTTTAGATTAGCTAGAAAGCAAGAAATCCAACAATTTCCTGCTTTCTAGCTAATCTAAATCTCCTGGCACAGCAGAACAGCTGATGGTCAAAAAAAAAATAAAAAAAAGGAAAAATAGCAACTTAGCAGGCAAGTTTGCCAGGTAAGGAATGAGTAGGCAGGAAGGGTTCCCGCGGGCCATGTGGGAGGCACAGTCTTGTGTTCCCGCGCAGCCTGGATTAATTGCTTTGGGGGTGACATTTCTCTGTGGACCACCAAAATTTTCTCACGGACCACCTGTGGGCCATGGCCCACTGGTTGGCGACCACTGGTCTAAACAATAGACTCTGAATGTGGCACAAGTGGAACAACATTGATAATTATCTGTACATTCATATAAAGGAAGTTCCACAGTTTTAAATTTCCATTCAGGGAAATTTAAGTTGTAATAGGTAGGCTGCAAACAGAACATGACTTGAACATCAGTTGAACTTAAGTTTGGTTTAAACCAGTTATGTATCATTAAAACCAAGAAACTTAAATAATTGAAATTTATGTATATACATGCAAGAATTAAAATTGGTGGAAGAAAGCAAACCAAATATCATTGGGGAGAACTACAAAGAATCATCACCAAAAATACTGTTCTTTGGGCAATGGGGTGTGTGTGTGTGTGTGTGTAAAATGTATGTATGTATGTATGTATGTATGTATGTATGTATGTATGTATGTATCTATTTTAATTTATCATTTTTTCTTTTCTTTCAACATCCAGTCAGGGTGGATTCTACATATTAAATGTTAAATTTAACTGACCACTTTTTCCTTTGTGTGTGTGTGTGTGTGTGTATGTGTGTGTGTGTGTGTGTGTACTTCTTTTCTTTGTTGTTTTTGTTAGGGTTGAATGTATGGTTTTGTTTTGTTTCATATTGTTTGTTTTACTATTTTGTATTTTATTTTCTATGATAAAACAATAAATAATAATAAAAAAAGAAAAAAAAGCAACCTTTATTATTTTGGCTGCCACATGTTTGTACCAACTGTTATTTCCAGATACTATTCAAAAGAGAATATTGGAAGAGGACATTTTGTTCTTCGTGGTTACAAATAAGATCCAAGCAATTTGAAGTTTTGGCTTCAGCATCTTGAATTGTGCCTTTAAAATCATAGGAGATAAATTTAGAGGTGCTGTTGCCATTTTTTAAAAAAATTCAGTCATTTTGTAAGAGCATTGCACTTACTTTCTGTTTTGTATTGTTGGTAGTCATATGTAATGTTCTTTTCTATTCTGCATTCTGGGTTGAAATTTTGGCTGTTCATATCCTACCCTCCTGTCCGGAAGACTGGGAGATTTCTAGGAACTAAACCACCTTTAAAATGCATTAGATTCTAACAGTTTAATTAAGTAATAAAATGTTAAAGAAAAGTCAATGCTGCTCAGAATCTCCTAATCCACAAGATAGGCAGCAAATAAATTAGGTAGGAAGGTAGTTAAACAGACAGACAGATAGATCTGTTTGTAAACAGATCGTTTGCTTTAAGATACCACTGAGATAAAAAGCATTTTTGAATTGCAAGTAGTATTGCATAAGAAATAAAAATTTAATTTTTTTTTACATTATTTAAATATAGCACTTAATATAACCCAAACATTACCAGCTATGAAATAGTTTCTTATTCTATTAAGCTTGAACAGGTTTTGGAGCATTCCCAGAGGAAACTGGATCATTCAGAAAGTAGTAGAGAAATTCTTCTCCACCAGGTAATTGTTTTAACAGTTGGCTATATTTGGATCTCATAAAATTTATATCAATATCAGCAGGTAGTTGGGAGGAGATATGTTAAGGAAAAGTTCAGAAGCTTGTGTCCTAAGTTAGATTACAAAATGAAATATGTAAAAAAAAAAAAGCTAAGAAATATATAACAGAAGACAGTGGTCTTTTTTTGCTTTATGAGATGGCCCCAACCAACCAAAGATGTTCTCCACTTTTTTAAAGAAATTGTCCCTAAAAAGGGACTTAGTTTATTTTGCATTTTGAATCTTTGTGCTTCAGCATAGAACTCTTTAAAAGGAGAGAGCATTTGATTTGAAATCACCAAATTGGTTTCCTGACTACATGGGGATTTGAACCAGCTCTCTGTATTCCATTTTCAATAGTTCTCTACTGTACTTCCAATATTTGAGGGGCTGCCACAGGGAGGAAGGGGTCAAGCTATTTTCTAAAGCACCTGTAAGCCAGACAAGGAATAATGGATGGAAACTGAACAAGGAGAGATTTAACCTGGAAATAAGGAGAAACTTTCTGACAGTGAGAACAATCAACCAATGGAACAGCTTGCCCTCAGAAGTTGTGGGAGCGCCATCACTTGAGACTTTCAAGGAGAGATTGGACTGCCATTTGTCAGAAATGGTGTAGGGTCTCCAGCTTGGGCAGGGGGTTGGACTAGATGACCTACAAGGTCCCTTCCAACTCTGATTATCTGTTATCTGTTACATTTTTGGACTAGAATGGTTTGCAGAAAGCTACCATACAAAATACCAGTGCATGTGCCATTTGCACATTTAATTTCTTACATTTTAGTGTGCTGAAATTCAAAGCATTTGTTTCTTGGAGTTATTCTACATTTCAATTGTTCTTTGCGCTAATTGACACTGTTAAAACAAGCTGTATTTTAAGAAAGGTGGACTGTCTCTGGTCATATAAAAGCTTTCATAATCTTAATTGGTTTGAGTTTTTGTTTTGTTTGTTTGCTTATTTTTTTGCATATTCTCAAACCCATACACAGTATCTATTATATAAACTGTAGATTAATGTGTTTGAAAATAAAATAGCATAATAAATAATACAGATTGAAATGTTCTATTTATTGCTCAAGATACATTAATGTGCTAATTCAAAGCTTCAGGCTTCCTAATATAGACATTCTGATACATTTTGAAAAAATGCAAAAAATCCTGTCTTATAAATAAATTAACACATTGGACATTTTTCCCATGGATGGTAAAGTTGTAATACTTTGCTACATTTCACACAAAGAAATTATACTTTGAAAATGAATTCCTTATAATATCTAATTTCTTTTCAGTAAATTTTTGTTTTTCCAGCAACACGACTAAACCTCCGCCTCCATTTTTCATTGCAAAACTTATGTATTGCGCTTATAATCATTATTAGATAGATAACAATTTGATATTTATTTTCCACCTTCCAGGAAAACACTAGCTACATGAGAATTATTTTGATTAGGAAAATGGTATAGAGCAGGAAGAGCCAATCCCACTCTGTGGCTGATTTATTTTAGTATAAAATAAAAATAATAAGAAATAACAAGCAAAAGAAAATAATAGCAGAAGATAAGATAATAACATACTCTTTACCTTTCTAATTCATCTTTGTTTCCACCACATCCACGCACCGATTCATGCATTGCCTTTTGTTATTTAAACAAAAGATTCTGAGAATCTCCTCAGTTCTGCCCAATCACGACTTTTCTTTCAAAGCATCCATTCTTTCTTCACATACTTGTTTTGCAATTTGATCTTCATCCATTTTGTCTGTATAACTGAGCCATCTCAATATTCTTCTTTCATACAGATAGCTCTCGATTTACAACAGTTCATTTAGTGACTGTTCAAAGTTACAACGGCACTGGGGAAAGTACCTTATGACTATTTTTCACAGTTACTACCTTTGTAGCATCTCCCCTTGATCATGTGATCAAAATTCAGATGTTTGGCAACTTATGACCATTGCTGTGTCCCAAGGTCATGTGGTCAACCTTTGCAACCTTTTGACAAGCAAAGTCAATGGGGAAGCCAGATTGACTTAACAACTGGGTTACTAACTTATTAACTGCAGTGATTTGCTTAACAACTGTGGCAAGATAGATCATAAAATGGGACAAAAGTCACTTGACAAATATCTCACTTAACAACAGAAATTTTGGGCCCAATTGTGATTGTAAGTTGAGGACTACTTGTACTTGTGTATTTTTTCCACATTTTTTATTATTCACTCCTTCATTCTTCTCGATCCTGATTCTTCTTGGTTTACCACACATTTCCTATTTCCACTGTGTTCAAATGTTTATTTTCTCATGAGTTATCCCACAGTAATTTCCATATACCATTTATGTCAACTTAACATTTCATTTAAAAATATTCATTTCAACAGGAACATGATAGGGTTTTTTTCATGTCTTTTCTTCCATGTCCACATTTTTCCCAACTTCCATTCTTGCCCTCTGAATCCTGGCACTTTTTCTTTACTCTTTCATCTTGTCCCCACCATGCATTCATGTCACTTGGAACAAATTTGTCCTCTGGATTGCATTTATTCAGATTATGGTGTAATTTTCCACCCCAAACTCATCCAGTTTTCCATAATTACTGTTAATGGGAGCATAATATACATTTTTACTACTGTTTGAATTTCTGTTTTCATATGTACCAGAACTATCTAGATAATATAAAACCATACTTTCTGACATATACAGTATTTTAGTCCTTTTTAGTCCCAAAGGTGCTTTTTCCAAAAGGCAACTGGACTTGGTTTTTTCTTTGAAAATGTTTCGTTTCTCATCCAAGAAGCTTCTTCAAAACTGGACCATTTTCAAAGAAAAAAATCAAATCCAGTTGCCTTTTGGAAAAAGCATCTTTGGGACACCTACATCTTCAGTTCCTCCACTCTCTAACATTATACCATTGTCATTCACATTAATTATATCCATTCCCTTTTTCTTAGGTTCACAAACATACAGTAAATGTATATTTCTTTCATTTGAGTTCATTCATTAATTCATGCTCTTCACTATTTGCTTCTCTTATATTTCAAATCAGATGCTATAGCTACAGCAGAATTCAATGTCTAATGATGTCATGATATATTATTATTATCATATTGAAGTATTCTTATTGTGTTCTTTTTCATTGTTTATTTTATGGTTCTATTATTTTACTTCTGTTCACACTCCTTTCATTTTTTTCTTTTTTGGTATTGTAAGCTGCCTACAGTAGTCCACAGAAAGATAGGTGGCAAATAAATTTAATAAATAAATATGGAATATTCATCAATGGTGCATGTATTTCATTTATTAGTAATTATATTTCATGGATGATAGATAGGAGTCTCATTTTACTTGTGCCTTTGTATCCTTTAAAGATTTAATCACATCCATGAAGATACAATGCCAGATTTGATTGAAATCATTTTCTAGCTTGTTTAAAAAGCTGGCACTTGTCTGTGTATATGTATGTGTGTGTGTTAGATTGAAGATCTTCGTTCCCAACTTCTTAGAGCAGAAGAGGACCGTTTGACTCTGCAACATCAAATATCTCAGGTTTCTAAGCATCACCAAAGCCATCTAGATGAGCAGCAGGATGACAGGAGAAAGCAAAGAGGTAGGACTTTTCCTTCTACCTTTAGTACTTAGAATGGTAAGCCACATTTTTCCAAGGGGCAGCGATATATAATGCTAAACCCACATCACATAGACAACAACATTTTTAAAAACAAGTGTGTAAATGCTCACCATCTCAACTTATTTTTACGCATTGCTCCACAGTGGTGCTGTGGAATCATGACACTGATATTAAAAAAACCTGGTTACTGAGAGATAAAGGAGACCCAATTTAAGTTATGGAAAACATATTGTGTAACTATTTGAGATTAAAAAATGAGTGAAAAATGCTAATATCTTACAGGATGCTGAAGCGTTATGAAATCTCCTAGTATCTCATAATTTACTCTCTACCCTTTTTGCATCTCCTGTTGTATGAATATAATAAAAGCTGAGAGGCAAGTAAAAGCGTATGTATGAGCTGTGGAAGAGACTTCTGTTTGCTATTCATGTCAGGAAGAGTTGTATGGTTGCATTCTAAGATCTCATGCAGCAGTAGATGGAAGCAATAAATCAACTATGCTTGGTAGATTTTAGCCTTTGTTTCATTTGGCATTGAACAGATCAGTATAGTTAGATTCCCTAAATCTTGCTGTGAGGATTTATTCTAGGCAACTGAAGTCAGTCAGATCTGCTAAAACTGGATTGTGGCTGTGACTGTCTCATTCAGGTGAGGAGAATTTAATTCCAACTGCTAAGCTTAAAAACCATGCTTGGTTAGTTAATAGCTACTAGAGAGGCATGGGAAAACTATTGCCAGAATATTTTCACAATGGAATCACTGGATAATCCATTTTTGGCTGACTCTTGAAGTGTTCTTCCTGATTAGCTTGCTGAGGTCAAGGTCCTTATTATACAGCTAAAACCTGAAAGACCTCTTGCAGAAAATGTTACCCCTAGAATTACTAAAGGGAAAACAAGGGATGGTGGGCTCCAGTGCTGGCTGTCTTATTTACCCATATTAGCAGTTGAGCACATTTTTATATTGTTTGGAACCATGCCACTATAATCTCTTTTTATAAAAAAAAACAAAGGAAATAGTCCAGACCCTGAACCATAGAGCCATTTGTTTGCTTAATACAATCAGCAAATTGTATGTTGTGGGTACTTTTTTGAACTGCAAATGATCAGATGGACTCAGACTCATCACAAAAGGATTGGAAACTGGTACAATTGCTTTGTTTTTGTATCTCCCTTCATGGCTATGGCAGACTTTAAAAAAACCCAAAACCAAAAATAGTGGACAAAAAGGGAATTATAAATTACAAATGCTTTCATCTATTTTAGAAAACTAATACCTTACTATTAATATTCTATCTATATTGATGCCGTATTCCTATTCCTATCTTATACTAATTCCCTATTCCTAAATCAGTATTCCTTGGTGTTAAAGGTATATTGTAGTTCCACCATCTATTTTCTTTAGGCTATTTATCTGCACTATATCTTAAAATCCAATTTCTTTATCTTTCTCTGTGCTATAACTATACTGTATATTCCTCTATTGCTGATCTCTATATTTCTCTTACATACAACTATATATGTACTGGCACTCTTTGTAGATGTGTGCTCCATTTTTTACAGCGTTCATTTGGTCCTTTATCTTTTGGTTCCTTTTTCTATTTCTGCTTCTTTGCCTTTTCTGCTGAATTGTTCCTGGTTGGGCCCCTTTCCTTTTCTTCTCCTTTAAAGGAGGGTTCCAGCTAAGGGGAAAAGGGATCTCAGATCAGGTCTGAGGAAAGAAAGAAAAATGCCCCTGCAAACCCCAGTTTCTGCAGCTACCCCCTCCTCCTTTCCCGTTGCCTCCTTTGCAGCAGGCCTTTGGGGCTTCTGTTTGTTCTGTTGGCTCCTTGTGAGACCTGTGGCTGCAGACCTCACAGGTAGACATCTTATCTTCTTCCCTCCTCTCCCACCTGTCCAACATTGTGGTTTTGGCAGCTATGCTGTCCTGCCACTGAGAAGGGAGGAGTGTGCAGATATTTTTATCAGAAATTACTGGTTTATCAAAAATTATTATTTATCTGCACTATATCTTAAAATCCTATTTCTTTATCTTTGTCTGTTCTACATCTATACTGTATATTTCTATATATGAAAATGATAACATCCTCATTGAGAAACGGGGCAGCTTTAGAAGGGCTAATCAACTCTGGACCACTATTTGGTCTGTTGCTATTTAGCTGAAAAAAATGTTTCTCACAGCCCAGAAGCTCTCTTTTTGCATCCTTTCTTGATTTCAGTTCAGTTGTGATTTGATCTCAAGCTGAAACTGTGGGTTAAAAAAACTAAATATATCCTTAATTGATAAAAGCTTGCTCTTTCTCATCTTGTCTTCAATGCCTCTTTCAAATTAGGTTTAAAAATATCCCTGCTTGGGAATATCTCCCTGGAGCGGTCTCCACCTAGAGGAACATAAAGCAGAGATACGTTCTAGGCCTTGCTTTTGTTAATGTACTGTACTACCTCTTTCTCCTTTTTTCTGACTTAGAGATAGGTGAATGTGAATATTTAAAAAGCTAACTGTTATCCTGGAGTTAGAGATGGCTCCTGAGGAAGGCAACTCCCCCATCTGCAGTGTCCCAAATCAGTTTTTCCATTATGCTCCAAAATGTCATTCAAAGGAGGCAATAGCATGAAACTAAAAAGAAATCAAGTTGATGGAGTATAGGCACGCGTATGTTGAAACATATGTTTAAATGTTCCATTAACTATATTGCTCCATAGAAAAATTCTGCTTAGAAGGAGCCTTGTTTTCCCTTTTGGTTTGGTCTGATCCTAAATTGTATCATGTGTTCCAGTTGTTGAGAGGCCTGATCCAGAGAAGCAAGAGATGGAGAAACAGATCTGGGAATTAAGAGCACAATTAAACCACAGTGCTGTAATGTCAGAGATAGAGGAGCTGCAGCGATGCGTTGAGCGCAAAGACAAAGAGAAATTGCAGCTTGTGATGCAAATGGAGGTAAACTTTTTCTTACATTATAACTTTAGGGGCTTTTACTTTGCAAATGGGAGGTTATCTATGCTAAAGTTTGCCTCACAAACATTGTCATCGTTGCTTCCCTTGTAAAGGAATAAACAAAAAATAATTCTGTGGATGAAACCAGTATATTGGATTTTAGCCTTGTCTTCTTTTCCTTTCCATGTTATTTATTTTGATATCTCTGGGGAATTTGGATGGCAGGTCAAGTAGCAATATTGAACAGCATTCATTCATACAGGTCCTTATTTGTAGTCTTGTCACAGTGTTGAGTAGCATGGCACATAGTTCTTATGCAAGACTGTCATTTAATGAAAGTAGTGGTTCTCATCAATACCAAATATGAAGGCTTTTATTTGTAAAAAATACAGCCAACACTGCATCCAGCTGATCTTGAAGAAGCAGAGTAAGGTCAGCTCTAGTTAGTACTTGAATGGGAGGCTACTTCCAGTAGCTCTAAGTATAACTTATCTGCTGCTGGGTATAATTTCTGGAATTACCAAACTATTAACCATAAAAACATAATTCTTCCATTCTCTAATAAATACAGTTTTAAGACATATGTTTAATCAGTTGATACCTGTGAGAGATATAGCTTTGGTCAAGCCTCTGAGTAGCTGTGACCTAAAGTCAAGATTAAAAAATCTCCAACACAATTCTGCAGAAAATATGTAGTGACAGAACAGTTTCCTGCTTGTCAAGCCACATGTGCATTAAATTAAGTTTCTTTTCCTGGTAACTTTGAGCAATTTATTTTGCTTCTGAGCAAGGTTAACTCAAACAAACTGGGAGAATCAGCAGAGAGATTCTCACTGACTTCCTCTTCCTCTTGAGATTTGAAAGAGAAGGTTGTCTAATTTGAGTACTTGGTATAACATGATGATCAGTGAGATACTGTTGGCTAGCTTCATTTAGGTAAATCAGAGGTTAGTGCTACAATATTTAAAAAAATGCGAGAGGAGCAGTAGACTGCGGACATCATTATTTTGGGCAAATGGATGTGATCAGATTGGGAAATATTTCACTTGAAATATTTCTGTGCTGCTTTGTCGGAAGATAGAAAAATAGGGAACTGTTATTTCATAAGGTAACTCTTTGTTGCTCAGCAGAGAGATGCTAGTATGCTGTGGTGTCATAAAAAGATTTCAGATCTTAGACTTAGAATAACTTTATTGTCACTTTAAATGTACACTAATCAGCATACATTAAAATGAAATTTCGTTACATACAGTTCTCAAAGAAATAGGTGAATGTGAATATACACTATATACACTACATAAACATGACAGAAATAAATAAATAAGTAATAAATAAATATGCATATACCCACATGTATTATATGACAGAGAGAAACTACATAGTCTGCAGCTAGCTTTGAATTCCCAACCACAGGATGGATGTTAACCTAAGTGAAGAATTTGACAATACTCTAGTAGATAGTTGAGTCAATATTAAATGATAAGTGCATATTATTTGTTTGGCACTGTATTTGCTTTAAACAATAAAATGTAATAGTAGTCTGCCAAAGGGATTATTCTTTTTGCATTGCATGTAGTCTTGACTGTTTTGTTCTAAAAAACAAAACTATTTAAATTGTATCAGTTTTTGTAAGCATTACTTCTAACAATTGTCCTTGAATGGGTACTCTTTGGTTACTCATATATATGAAAATAATGTTTCAAATTCCAAAATAGATTTATATCTTTATTCCGTTGACACAGAACATACATGGGCTTTTCATGATCTGTGGACCCACATCTGTTCCTTCGACTGTCCCTGTCTGGCCTATGGCAGCAGAGGGAATGGCTGTCCTCTACAACAATTGCAGAGTCTCATGTGGCCCCTTGGGAAAATTAATTTCCCAGCCCTGACATAGAGAAAACATTTTTTAGAAGACATGACTAAAATTATAGATAAACTGACATAATTGCTGTTTTGATTTTTTACTATGATTGTCAATTAGTATGAATCTCATGTAATAATCATGCCATACTTATACAATTATTAAAATTTGATTGTAAATTTAAGAATATATTTGGCCATAGCTATTATTTCAGAGGAGTTTCAGTTGAACATATTTGACGAGCATAAAAAATAGCAGATAAGGATAATATTTCATTTCCTTGATACCAGTTTGCTTAAGGTACCAGAAGACTGTGAATTCTAGTCCCACCTTACGCACAAACACTTGGTAGCTGACTTTAGGCCAGTCACTCTCTCTCTGCCCAACTTACCTTGCATGGTTGTTATTGTGGGAGAAACAGGAGGAGGAAGGAGTATTATGTATGATTGCTGCCTTGAGTTATATATAAAAATAATAAAGGCAGAATTAAAAATAAAGAAATAAAAATAAATAAAATAAATTATTCTTATAGTCACAATTGTATCAGAAGCTATAGCTTCTTCAGAAGACATTTTTAATAATCAATTTGATTGAATACGATTCTAATAAAGACAGCTATAAAATAAGCATGTAGGAAAGCAGTTAAGATACAACATGGTTGCTTAAAATTTTGCTTCCCATTAAAGGAATAAAATTGAATATGATGAAATATTTATTTTCCTTCAAACAAGATTTAACAAGAAATTTGAAGATACAACAGCTATCTGAAACAACTTGTCCCACTTTCTATTGCATTCTAGTGACATTTGTATTTAACCAGAGTGTCAAGCTATAGTGGTACTTAGGTATCATTGTTAATTGGTTCTGGGAAATGCAATGAGTACCAACAATGATGAGTACCAAACAGATTTTTCTCCTAAGGAATAATGTAGTGAGTCACAACATGACAAGTTCTAGCTTATCAGGGAAACGTTGAGTACCCGGCCAAAATGATCATGTCAAAATGTGTTGAGTACCAAAGTCCATGAGTTTCAAAGCAGTTGAATACCAAGGTACTACTATACTTTATGAGAAGAAAACACATTTTGTTTTAGGAATATAATTTGGGATCTGACCACTTTTTACATTTGCAACTCCAAAGAATTTCTGGGAATTTTACTGAATGATTTGATGATAAAAATATTCACAGCAGGTAGCCTGTTTTTTCTAAATTTGAAATCATAGACCTAGTCCCTTCTACCATTATGCAATTTGGATTTTGCTTCCTGTCATTATCCTTTGAGGATAATTTCACTCTTGATGCAACATTAGGCCATAAAAGACTGTGAATTTGAAAACTGCAACAGTAAAACAGCATTCCGTCAAATCTGTTTCCATATGCAAATGTAATATTGTTCTTTGCTTTTTCCAGATGGAGTTAATGAGTTAGATGAGTAAACTTGCTCTATGGATGATTGGAAAAGTTTAGGATCTGCCTCAGAATGGCTTGATCAATTTATTTTATATGATGCCCAAAATAATCAAGCTGTTCAGATTTAAAATTGAGATTCTGTGGACTGGATCTCTCAGCTTGCTCCAGGCAAAGCAGCCATCATTGATGGTTTATTTATGGTTTGTTCAAAACCTCTAATGAGAATTGGGCTGATCTTGTTACAGACTTTTTAATTGGGTCAGCCTATTTCATTTTCAATGTTGTAGTTTTATGCAATTCTGAATTATAATAGGAATGGGCAGGCTTAATTCATCTTAGCCATCTATACTCTAAAATATAAATGAGGCAAATTCCTGGAAGAAAAGTAATAAAATCAAGATACAGGCACAGGATAGATTGGATGTAAACTATCTTAAAGTCCTGCAGAAAAATCTTCAGGCAATTCTGTGTTTTGGTTAAAGTCTTTATTTTTCTTTATAAAAAGCAAAGACTGATATTTCTGATGAGTCGTTCACTTTTGTCTACTTTATTGTGTGAACTTTTCTTGAATAGGACTAAGGATATGTGATAATTGGGGAAGAAAGAGATATTTTATAATTGACAATTTAAAAAAGTTAATTTAGCTCTGACTAATGTACCTTTGAAAAGTTATCTGGACAAATTGAAGAACGTTCTTGTACATATCAAATATATTCCTTCTATTCTTTTAAACTCATGCTGAACTTCATTAACCTTCATGAGTCATTTGTATTCATCAGGATTCCAAATATTCCCTCATCAATGGTTGCTACTGATTTAATCTGTTCTTTTCCATCATCTGAAAGTGTTCAGAGCTGTCTTTTACATAAGTCAAAGCAACATTAGGAGAGAATTAACAACATTTCTACTTTTAAATAAAACAGAGATGGTAACCTCTCTTAATTGTGCTTTATCAAAAAAATCCTTGACTGTCTTGCTGAGCTACTATGTATAGTATATGCGCCCTATCAACAGTTAGTTTATAGTATGAGTGAATAAATTAGCTGTTAGTAATTACACTGTATACTAACGTGATGGGAGCTTATCTGTAGTTTTAATATGTGACATATCATCAAAGTAAATAATTAAAATCCACATAGCACAGATGTCATCAACTGTATATGATCTAGTGCAGGGGTGGGCAAACTTTTTGGCTCGGGGGCCGCATTGACTTAAAATTTGACAGACGGGCCGGGTCAGCACAAGATTTTTTGGGATTCGCCCCCCCACCCTTCCCCCCCTCTTTTCCTTCCCCTCCCCTCGGAGGCCCCCTGAGTCAGGAGTTGCTACCGCCGGCGTGGCTCCGCGCGGCTCCAGTCCCGTGTTGCCTCGGGAAGGGAAAGGCAAAAAGGAAGAGCTGCAGCGGTGCTTTGCAACGGGAGCAGCGGCACCGGAGGCTCAGGCTCAGCAGCTCCTGGTTTTGCCTTTTCCTTCCCAAGGCAACGCGGGACTGGAGCCACGCGGAGCTGCGCCGGCGGTAGCAACTCCTGACAGCCCCAGCCGGACACCTGAGCGGAGGCCGGGCGGAACTGCCTGTTGCTGCTGCCGGAGCACCGCCGGGTCGCCTCCTCCAAGCAGCCCACCCGCCCGCCGGGCTTTCCCTCCGCCGCGCAGCTCGGGGCCAGGCGCGAGTGCCCGCGAGTTAAAAGGAAGCCGAAAGTTGCTGGGAAGTTGCTCGGGTGCTGGGAG